CTATAAGATTTCCAAGCATGAAAAGCGGAACACTTGCTTCAATTTCTGGCCAAATAACAATCATATATTCTCGTATGCACTTCCATCTAATTTCATTCGCATCGAATTGAATATTTATTAGGTTCACGAAAATACCTTCCTTCCTTTCCGTCCATTGTTCATTATAAATTCATGCGCTGCATTTTCACCTGGACATTTTCTCAGTTGCTCAGCGGCCACCCGCCGATGGCATTTTCCCCGATGACAGTTTTGTATTTTTGGCCCCGGCTTTCCACTCAGCATCTCTCGACCGTCCACTATCGACTGTCAAATGGCATCGATTATGCATCACAGCATAATTCAAACTGTCGCTTCGCTTAACGTTTGCCATGAAATTCAATTGGCAATTGGCAGTAGATGGTATATGGTGGATGGTGAATCTAGCAAAGAAAAACTTTTCGAACCCACCGAAGGCCGCAGCCAAGTAAAAACAATTGAATTATGGGCCTGGGCAGCCGGAGAATGTGCGTCACTTGACCAAACTGCAAACTGCAGTGGGATGTGGGCGGGAAATGGAGCGTCAGTCTGATAAATGACCATCAAGAGGTGGTCCCAGCGAAATGGAGTGCAGCTGCCATGCCACATGGCGTATGCGCAATGTGAGAGTCCAAGAGGAGGAGGGGGAGGATGAGGAGGCGGTGGCGGTGGCAACAATTGCAATATTTGGCAGCAAATTTTATTGCCCAACACGGCCAGGCACAAAATATCGAGTTCATTTATCAGGTCCTGTTTGTGCGGCCAGCAAATTGGCAAACGAAACTGCTGCCACCTCAAAAAAAAAAAAGCCAAAAAAAAATGAACCACAAAAGATAAAGAGACAGTAGAGAGTGGAGTGTATTTTCCCAGAGTGTTTTCCCACAATTTGCCTTGCACTCGGCACAATTACTTTGATTGCTAATCAAGTGACAACTGCAAATTGACCAAAACTATCAATATGCATTACACACTTTCTCTTTCCGTCTCATTGTCACTTTTCCATCAATCATCGATTTTTGCCCCTTTGTTGGGAAGTATTTTTGCCAGGATATATTGAGGAAATGCACACATATAATAATTGACAGCTTTTATATTTTTGCATCTGCGACTAAGAGGAAAAAAGGAAATGCATGGGGAAATAAGAGGAAAGCCCAGTGACATTTTCAAATTCATACTCGCATATTCTCCTCCGATGCATCAAAGTTGCATTGAAAGACACTTCTTTTCCGGCGAAGGATTTTCGGAATAAGTCCCTGGCAGAACTCATCGATCAACCTGTCACCTGCCGACGAACAGGGAAAAGGACGAAAGGAAAAGGAAAAGGGTTCCGGATATGGAAAATTTTTTAATTTAATTTCACTTCCCGTTCAAACAGAGATGGCAGGTTTTCATATTATGTCTCTGCGATGAATGTCTTTATATGTATACACAAATTGTATTTTCTTGGTATAAATTTACCAATGCAAATAATTTGGGACTTGATCATTAAACAAAATTTACCCTAGTAAGTAGATATAAACATGTAATTAATCTCTGCTTATTTCCATACCAACTACTGATTTCTGCTCAGTATTTGTGATTTTTTCATCCGCAGCTATCAAGCATCTATCGAATATCAGAAAATCAACATTTTTAATTGATGAATCTATTAATCTATCACTGAACTTTTATTATCCCATCATCTTTGCCCATTAGCTGATGTTTATTGGCTCTTGAAAATTCACACGCCCAATTAGCCGATCGAATTACCAGGCAAATCTCCCCCCACTCTCACTCACAATCAGTCATGTTATCCTTCTTCTTTTTGTTTCGCTTTTCCCCTTAATGAATAGCGCTTTCCTCAGCATTGCAGAATTTTCCACCCGAATCGCTCAACGTGTGTAATTATCGGCTCTGCAGACGGAGTTTCACTGGCCATCTATTCCCCTGAACCTCCAGCCTCATTCCCATTGTAAATCAATCTGTCAGTTAATAACGAAGCAACCTTTCATTACCCCTTTGCAGATTCTGCCTCTGCCTCTCTCCCCGCTTTCTCACTTTCTTCCACTTTCTCTTTCTGTGGGCGGGCAATAAGCGTGTGCAAATAGAGATGCGGACAAACAAAACGGCCACTGCAAAATTAAAATGTGAAAAATGTGAATTTCAGATATTTAATTTTGAAAAATCTATATCATAATTTAAGAACAACTGTCTAAAAAATAATTCGAGTTAACTTGAAAATTAGGAAGAAAATTAAAGTTAAAATTAAGAGGTTAATAAACGTTCAACAAATGCATACCATTAATAAATTTAACAAAAAAATTAAAAAAATTAAATTATAAAAAAATGTTTACAAATTTAAAAGACTTTAATGAAAAGCTTTGGTAAATTATATTTTGTATTATTTTATAACCCCTTTTCGCTCAGTGTACTTGGTCTATACACACAGCATATCAGAAACGCGACGGCGGCTTAATTAAAAATTGTAAGTGGCAGTAAATTAATTATAACCGTTGCCCGCAAAGTGTTTGGCTTGCAGCATATGTGGGCGGTCGTCAGCGGGGGGCGTGGCACTGCCACTACTTTGTGTGTGGGTAAGTGTGTGGGTGTGTGTGAGTCAGTGGGGGAAGGGGGGATGTGCACTTCAAAGGGAACCGTTTTAATCAAATTTCGAAGAGTGGCACCGCTTGTGATGTGGGTGAAAACGAATAGAGGAAAATTGCCAGGCGGTGGTAAGACGGGGGAAAACTGTCGGAAAAGTCAGCTCTCATTACAATGAGATCTTTGCAAATTCTGGTCCCCATTTCCCCAACCTACGTAACCCGTAAGCAGCTGGAAAAGTCGCTCGAAAGTAGACAGGAAGCCGTGTCCCTTGTCCCTTGTCCTCTGTCCCAAAAACCAAAAGCGATCTATGTGTATAACCCAGGGTCCATGGACTACTGGTCCTCGAAATTGGAAATACGACAAATGAAAGAGGCCAGCAAGGAATGTCCTTTGATGGGGACCTTCCTTTGTCGCCCGATGATGGGAAGGAAGCAATTTCGAAATCACTCTGCAACCGCATGCCAAGTTCCCAATAAATTCAAATTGTATGTAGGTTGCTTCAAAGTTTAAAGGGGGCCTTATAAAGGTAGCTAGTCCTTTGTTCCTTTTATATCTTTACGTTTTTAAAGTTAGTTTAAAAACTAGCAAGCACAATTTAATTACGCTTTACTTTTAAAAATATTAAATGCAATTAATACAAAAGTTTCAAAATTTAAATTCTTGTGTATTTATTATTTATAATTATTTAAATAGATATTATATGAAAATGTATATGATAATTTATAATTTATCATTATCATAATTTTATAATTTATCATTGATAAATCCTTCTCTGGCTGCAATTATTTAAATTTAATCAATTTCTAGAAATTATTTAAACCTTAGAGGTAAAAGTTAATCGTACTTTTGACTTAGTTGAATTTCTATAAATTCGATACAACCACTATCATTCGAGTTTGACCTCCTTTTCGGCCTTTCCCCCAAAAAAAGAAGGAGAAAACATAAAAAAGGACTGCTGGCCAACTTCATTAGGCGGCCAAAAACATGAAGGCTAGTTCATTTCCCTCTCAGGGGTGGCCCGCAATCATAAAATGTTTTGATTCATTTGCAAGCTAAATTGAGGCAAAACATTTCAACTTTTCCTGGATCGCACCTGGCCCGAGGGCGGTATGGGCGGCATGGGCGCAAGAGGGCGTGGCAGCTTCCGCCGGTGAAGGCGAACTATCTGGCACAGGTCCATCCGCACAGGTTCAGTGCTTCGGTGCTTCATTTTCAGCCATTGAAGCGTGCCACCGATTGAAAATTTAATTTCCCGCCTATGGCGCTGAAATAAAAACAAGAAACCAAACCAAAAAAAAGAGGAGAAAGATGAAAACCCCAACCTCAGAAGGAGGAAAAAGGAGCAAGGGAAGCTGCGCCACCGGTTTCGACCAGGCCAATGTATTTCCGTTCGTATCCAAACCCCGGCAAGTGGATTTTGATTTTGATTTGGATTTGGATCTGGAGTCGGGACTTGGACTCCGTTCTCCCGGTTTCCACCGCTTTATTTGTAATAATCCAAATTGCCATGGGTCGAATCGTCAGACAGTATTTCCTGTTTCGACTGCCTGATTTATTTATTGAGCCGCCGAGCAGCTCGACAGCTTTCCACTCGACTTCAGTCACAGTCTGGGGCAATACAAAAATGTGAGGGCGCTTCAATAAGCAATAAGCAATTATCTGTTCAAAACAGTATGTATTTTTGGTGTAAGACCATTTTTGGCGAAGTTACAGCAAAAAAAAGAAAAAGAACAAAAATCAAAATTTTGTCCAAAACCCCAAATATCAATTTTACGCAAATTTGACTGAAACAATGGAAATATTGATCCAAATATGGATTGTCATACCTTTCTGAGCTCGTTATTAAATTTCCTAACGATTGGCATTTAAACCTTGACATTTTACTTATTTTTAATTTTTCGCAAAAAATCATGGGGTACCCCCTTATAAAAAAATTTAAAATTGGCGAAAATTTTATTTTTCCAAAATCACACGGAAAGTGTTATGGATTTATAGATAATTTTGTTATCTGTTCAAAACAGTATGTATTTTTGGTGTAGGACCATTTTTGGTCAAGTTACAGCAAAAAACAAAAGGAAAAAACTCAAATTTTTGCCAAAATATCAGATCTCAATTTTTCACAAAAAAATAATTAGTTTTTTGACTGAAAGAATGGAAATATTGATCCAAATATGGATTGTCATACCTTTCTGAACTCGTTATTAAATTTCCAATCGATTAGCATTTAAATCTGGACATTTGATATTTAGGTAAATTTTCGCAAAAAATCGTGAAACAATTTGCAAATTGCCGAAAATACCAATGCCAAATATTTTCCTATTGCAAAGTGTACCAATTTTTAGGCCTACGTTCACTGTAATAAATTCCTACTAATAGCCCTAATCTCCATCTTCATCTCATAGGTCTCTCCAAGCGACCGCTGGGCCCGCCGCATCGTAAAAGCAGTCTACCAAAGCATCAGGAGGTGAAGCGCCGCTTCCTGGAAATTTGTGATACGACCTTCTCGGAGGAGGTGAGGGCCGCCCTGCGCCTGCCGGCCTTCGACTCTTACGAGTGGGGCGACGCCGACGTCATCCACCTAATGCAGACCATGTTCGTCGAGCTGGGCTTCATCGAGAAGTTCAGCATTCCGGTGGACACGCTGCGCGAATGGCTCTACGAGGTCTACAAGCACTACAACGAGGTGCCCTTCCACAACTTTCGGCACTGCTTCTGCGTTGCCCAAATGGTGAGTTTTATTTTGGCTATTTTCAAATGCATTTTGTGGCTAAAACTGCACATTGGGCTTTTAAATCACCTGTAAAGGCGTCTAAGAGTATGCAATGATGAATGAGATACATTAATTCGAACTAAAAATAAATTGTTGCATACTTTTGGTCACCTTTTTGATTTTAAAACTAAACGCTCTCTTTTTCTTACCTTTTTCAACAAAATAAAAACTAGTCAAACCGAGAATCATTAAAATTATACAAATACATATTATATTTCACTTTTTTATATGTTCATATTTATCTTTCTTATTGATCATTAAAAGTAATATAGTTCTCCAAACTGAGGGGCCTTAAATTTCCTAAAGCTTCCTTGTTAGCTGGAGCTTTTGTGCTCGCCTGCGGATATTTTTTGCAAGCCAGTATCAATTGTTTGAAGTGAAATCGAATATGCGCTGTAGTTTTTCCTTAATGGCATTTCCCGGGGCCATATAAGTTGAGATACGTGTGAGATACAAATTATTAATAAAATACTTGAGCGTAGCATCTATAATAATTTCTATACTCATAATGATTGCATGTAAATGTGTGTGGAGGACCGACGAACATGCAATCGATATAATGTGGGAATTTTTGTGAGGCGCCACATAAGTATTTCTATATCTGAATCTGAATCGCTGTGTGTGTGCTCACCATAAGCGGCGCCCAGTTGTATGCAATGCAAAAATAAACTAAAGCGCCAAAGGGCAATCCACCCAAAACGCTCGCATACGTCTGAATATCCGAACATCTGAGCAGCAGAAAACACGTGTGAATGTGGCTTAGGACAGGACCTATTTTTAGCTGCCAAGAAACGCCCAAGAAGCGAAAGATACAAAGAATTTGTTTCTCTTTTCCTTTTTTTTTTTCAAATGGCAACACATTGGCCATGGAAAAAGGAAAACTAAATAGAGGGAGAGAGCGAGGGCGACCGAGTGACTGGTCACTCACCCAGCATTGTCCAAATAAAAAAGGAAACGAAAGAAAAACCCCCAAAAAACCACCCACCGAGCACTTAGAACAGCGACCCACTTGCCTGCTCAAGTGCCAGCGGAAGAATTTTTAACCTACATTTTTGGCAAATGAAAGCTGCTGGGTGTTGTTGCATCTTCAGCCGCGAGTTCCTTCCATTTACTTTCCCGAAAAATACCCTATGGTCCATAATGTCGGGGTATACCTATGAATAGGTACTTATAGGTCACAGAAAATATATTTTGTATTGTGAAAAAAAAATTTAAAATTAATTAGGCAGTATCGTCGTTTATTTAAAAATATTGTTATCATAGAAATAGTGACATCGCTTTTAAAAAAGCGTCTAAAAGTATGCAGTGAATAAAGGATAGTTGATTTCCAGATGAATTTATACGCCTATTCCAACTATGTGGCCAATTTATCAACTTCCAGTACAGGGTATTCCTCCTCCGTTACTTTCCCCTCTTGAGATGCAGATCTATTTGCCTAAAGTATTTTTTTTTACCATTTTTGAGGTCTCATTTTACTTTTTGTGCAACACAAATATAAGCTGAAATAAATTAAAATGCATTGTCACTGCCCAGCTTATTTCAATGGCAAACTTTGCCACAAAGAGTTGCACTTAGTGGGGCTCCACTGTAGCTCAACTTTCGGGGAAACTAAGACAAAGACACATATAGCACAGAAAAAAAATGAAGAGAAGGAAGAAAAGCGAAACGAAAACTTTAAGAAATTATTTTTACGGGCAACAAAGGCGAACAGGTAAAGGGCGGGCGAAGAGGAGTGGGCGTGGCAACAATGGCAGGCTGCAAGTTGAAGTCAACAATATGCGAGGCGAGGCGAGGCAAAAGGACGACAAGAGGACGAGGGAAAGTCAGATAGTCGAGGCATCAAGTATACGCACGGTTGCCCCATTGCAAAATTGCTGCCACAAGCGCAACTATGACAATCGCATTATTATTTTTGCCGTTGTTGCCGTTAAATATGTTTGCCATAAACCGCATTATGTGGCAGACAAAAATAAACAACAACAAAAACCATGGCCACGCAAACACAAATAGAAACACGAATAAAAAAAAGAACATAGGGGAGCGCCCATTGTCATCGTCCTCGTCATCGGTGACCACGTCATTGCCGTTCACCTGCGTTTCACCTGTGTGCACTATTTTTACGACTCCTTCGCCCACCACGGACACTCGCGAAAAATATTCCACAATCACTTAGGGCCAAGAAAATGCTCTAATTAACAAGGACAGCAATGGGAAAAACCATTTTGTAAATCCTTAAAATTTATACACACTTTTTTTGAGTTGGAAATATGAATTATATATTTTATTTGCAGTAATGAAACTTACTAAAAAATTGTTAAAATTCCAAATTTTTACTTTTGAAATTTTAAAGCTTTAATACTGTTTGTCCATTGGAAAAAACCATTGATTAATGGCTTCAAATCGTTAAGCTGCGACTAATATTTGCATTCACACCAGGACTCAAAAGCTTTTGGCATAATTGGCTATGCGAAAATTCCCCTTTAAAAATATGGCACATGAATCGATTGCAGAATATTTGAATTTCGACCTCCGGCTGGCAGATTTCCCTTCTCTCCGCCACCCCTTCAATTTTTATAGCTTTTCAGCGATCCATATGCGTTGTTGCGTATTTTACAATTCAATGGGGCCGCCCATTTGCATAGGCGGGTCATGTCCATCAGCACAGCAGCGGTAAATGAAATAGGAGTGTAAAATAAATAAACTAAGAAGTAAAATATTTTTTGTACTACCATTTAAAAATCTTGAACATTTTTTTTTAATTTGTTACATGTTGAAAATCTCCTAATTGAATTATGGTTGTGACCGCGACTGTACGTACTTGTTAGTGCATATAGTGCGTGTAATTTGCCCTCGCTGGTGTGTGAGATTTGGCATGTGTGTGCGTGTGTGTGCGAGGACTCAAAAGCCGTTTGCAGGACATGACAGTCAAGCCGTTAAGCGGCTTTCGTTCAACCTACAAACAGGCGAACAAAAATTGGGCATTAAGGCAGCGGCAAGAGCGTAAATTTAAATTATTGAACAGAAGCCCCCCCCAGAAACCGCACTTTTTCTACGTTTCCTTTCCCCAACACATTTTCCTCGGGGAATTTCCCCGCGTTGCCCCCAAAGCGGGCGTGACCAAACACTTTGACTAATTTCCATTGGCTGCACTTTTCATCTGACGCTGCAGTTGATTTCCTTGGTGTATTTTTGTCCGCTGAAAAGTTTTCCAACGAGCAGAAAATGCACCAACAACTTGCCACCCTTGAGAGTGGGTGGTTGTTGGGGTGTTCGGGGCTCGGATCCCGAGGTTCGAGGGGTTAGTTGTCTGCGTCTGTTTGTTGACAATGAATTTAGATAAACTTGCGAAATTCGAAACGCAAATAGCATTTGCATTTGCATAAATTTATAGCACCTCCCGCGCATACAGCCCGCATTTCTCCCAGAGAGATTTTGTTTTCACACCATATCCCCCTACATAGATATAGATATATATATCTAGCCCCCTCTCTTTCTCGTTCGCCTTTACAATTCCGATCTCCCCGCCCCTTTCACTCGCACTTAATGCCAAAGTAAACGCAATGGCGGCGAAAGTTGTGCAACAACTTTTACGACCAGAGACCCCAAAGACTCACCTCTTAGGAACCCACCCTTTCGGAACCACCCAACCACCCAGCCACCCCCTGCACCACCCCGCTTGCAACTTTAGTGCAAAGAGCTAAGTAAAGTTTGCGCTGCTTTCGTATTTCGAAGAGCTTCAATTGAACGCTGTTGAAATTCCTCGAGGGTCTCCGCCGCCTAGTCATCTTCATTTGCAGGTCCAACAGGCCGGGGAATTCTGCAGTCCAAGGATACGACTATCATACACCTAGTACTCACTGTGGAATAAAATATTTCAAGGCTTTAACACCTTAACTTTGACATAACTGGCATTGCTTATTTAATCTATCTGTTCCTATAAAAGGAAGGCCCTTTTTTTGTGCTGGTTGAGACCGCAGCAGAAATGGTTTGGCATACAAATCTTAAATGAAAAACCGAAATTCAGAATTGATTCATACAGCAGTTTCATTAACATATATATAACATTCAGAAGATATTAAAAATTTGGTATGCATAAATCAAATAAATACAACATTTTAATTGTAGTTCATTTTGTTGCGAACCCCTTTACGAATTCAATATGCCCGCATGTTCAACAAGTATTAAGGGTATAAAAAGGGGGACCTGAGTGGTGGGAGGTCCTTCTACTGGTAATTGCAAAGGTTTCGCAGCAGACAAATTAAGTTGGCACAAAGAAAGGAAAAGGAGCACCAGGCGCGACAAGAACAGACGATAACGACGTGAAGGAAAACGGGTTATAGACGGCGGATCGGATCAAATAGGTGGAAAAATAGGTAAAATGAACCCAGAGGAAATGCGAGGCGGCCTTAAATCTCTAAATTGGTTTGGCTCAACCTGGCTAAGTTTAAATGTTAAAGTGCGAGGACTAATTGCCGGCATCAAGATAAATGGTTAGATCGATGATGGCCAAGCGGCAGATGATGCGGTGCATCCTTTCAGGGGATAGAAAAATTGCGAATGTTTGCGGAGATGGATGGTTTGCGAATCGAAAGGGGAAACAAAAAGCTGTGTAATTAGTCAGACAAGCGAGGAATGAAGCCATTTAGAATAGAGTCGTTTTAAGGGGTATGATTTTTAAATAAAAAAGGGATCCTAAAAACGTTTTTTTACGAATTATTTTTATAAATTTGTAATCAGTTTTAGCATATTTATTTATTTATAAAAGTATATAAATAAATAAAGAAATATTAAAGTTATAACTAAATAAATAATACCATCCATTAAATGGTTAATAAATTTTTTTAAATAAATATCTTAATTCTTTTGCAGATGTATGCCATAACGCGCCAGGCGAATCTGCTTAGCCGCCTGGGCGACCTGGAGTGTCTGATCCTGCTGGTGTCCTGCATCTGCCACGACCTCGACCATCCCGGCTACAACAATATCTACCAGATCAACGCCCGCACCGAGCTGGCTCTCAGGTGGGTAAATTGCAGAGTTCGATAGTTGGAGAGCCAGGAAACATATATAACATATATATACCACTTGCAGATACAATGACATCTCACCGCTGGAGAACCACCATTGTTCGATAGCGTTCCGCCTGCTGGAGCATCCCGAATGCAATATATTCAAGAACTTCAGCCGCGACACCTTCAAGTGAGTTTCACCTCGATTTAAGGTCCTATTTGCCGGGGATTTGGTTCGGTGACGGTGGCGGTGGGTCAATTAATTGCCAAGCATCCACTTTATGCGCGGCACGTACCAAATGGCATTGCATTAAACGCTCGCCCCATTGCCGTGGTAATTAACAGCTACCAGCTGCACTGCACCGCCCATTGCCACCCCAATTGACCTCCAACCACCCACCCATTGTCCTGACCCAACCTGAAATCCATGCCAAGGCACGACTGCGAAATCCATCGATTTGGTATTTAAAGAGCAAAGAACTGAACTGAGTTCTGTGATACCCCCTTTATAAAGAATAATATGAAAATTCTTACATAAACATTTCACAAACCCCTATATAAATAGGGATATTTATTCCGAAATCAATGTAGATCTTATAGTTTTTTGGTCACCCATTATTTTTTAATATAATTTAAATAATTACAATGGTGGAAATTATTCAATCATTCTAATTGTTAATTGTTTAATATTTCCATCTTAATCAAGAAGTTTTAGAAACCTTCTTATGAATTTCAAACAATATACCCCAAACACACTGATTTCTTTGGGTATAAAAATAAGTATCGCGGAAAAGTAAAAAAGTTGAAACAGAAGCTGCTGTTGTTGCTGGTGTTTTTCATGGTTTTCCTGGTTTTTCCTGGATTTCCCTGGGATTTCCCGTGCTTTCTGCTTACAATATGCAACCGGGAATGCAGTGCAATGAAGATTAAGCCGTAATTGGCCCGGACACGACATAATCCCAGTGTTCAGTGTTCAGCTCGCTTATAACTTTACTTAATTCGAGAAAATGTGCCAATCGAGAACAATTGAAATGCAACAAACAATTACGAATGAGCAATCGATATATCGAGTAATTAAAATAAATCTCTGGCGGTTTCGTTTGTTTTAAAATGCCAGTATGAAATTATTACGGGTATGTAATCTTAGATAGGAAATATAAAAAGACTTTGAGAGCAGAAAAAGTTCGTTATCGAAATAAAAAAGTTAACATTACAAAACTTTTCCCTTAAATACGTTAGATTTTTTGTCTTAGTGTTTATTAGTAATACAATTTTTAAGAAAAACCTCATATTTGAAAGGTCAAGGTCTAACCCTTTCGATTGGCTGATCAAAAACGAAAAGTGTTAATTGAATTCCCTTTCAGTATATTATTAATGCAACAATCGTGTTTTTCGCCTGATTTCCTATCACTTTTTGGTTGCATACATAGAATGCCACTTAACTACTTTCGATTAGCTAATTAAAATTCTGGGGAAGAGCGCGAAGTTTGCTTTCCGCAGATTATACGTTTATATAATAAAGCTATTTGATGGCTTAGCGGAGCTTTTTCTGCGCTTAACTGACCCCCCGCCACTGGCTTTTCGCATTTTAAACAGCATTTTCCCCCTTTCCCCCACTTCTATCCACCCCACGACTTTTCTCGCAATTTCATTTATTCTTGGTAGTGTTTTTTCTGCATTCACTGCATGCATTTTATATTGGAAAATATTCCACAAACACTAATTAAGTGGATTAGCCGGCGAAATGCTTTTCTCGTCTTTGACTTGCGGATGCGCGTGGATGTGTGGGTGGGAAATCGCGAGGAAATCGCTGGGAAATCGCGAGGAATGCGAATGGAAAACGGGAGGCTGGGGCATCTTCATCATCATCATCATCATCATCATCATCATCATCATCCCGATGACAAGCATCATTATGCACAAGGAACGCAATCAACGAAAAGTCGCGCCCTTGACAACATAGCAACCCCCCTCCCCCCATTTTCCGCCCACATTTTCCACCCACTCGCAACCATTTTCCTTGGCAAGTTTGTGTGCATAAACTATTGGATACTTTTGGGAGTTTTTGATGGCAAAACTTGTCGGCAAATGCACACAATATGCCAGGCATCATCATCAACGCTGTGTGCTGGGTGGTGGGTGGTGGAAAAGCGAGAAAAGCGAGGAGGGGAAGAGGAAAATTCAGTGTGGTCCTAAGACAGTTGTCATTGCGATTATTACGCATGATTATTACCAGAGAATTGGATGGCATGTGCATAAATTTTCGGCCATTGTTCGTGTAATATTCGACTAAATAAGCAAATATTGTTATTTCATTTGACTTTCATTTGGTAATAACAAGAGTCCAATGAGAATTAACTCGGAAATTCTGCAATGCGAATGATAAGTAACTGAAATGGTAATCGTTGTCTATCTTAGTTGCTGTTAATTAAGTAACTTCTTGAAAATTAGCTAAAATGTTCAAATGGAGATTCTCACCTTTTTTCACAAAATATTATAGAATCATGAGGTTTCTAACAAGTTATTATATGTTTACAGATAAATACATTTTCTAAAAACAACAATTGTAACCATTTGGATAAGAGATTAATTTAACCACAAATGGAAATAATTTATATTGTAATGCTCTAGAACTTTCAATGATTTAAGTGCCTAGCAATATTGGATGCCAGTTCTTTAATTGACCCAATAGATAAATATATATCCCAAACAGCTTTACGCTATTTCAAGTGCTTTTCACCTGCCGAATCCTCGATTTATAATTCATTTTTTTTGCTTGCTTTTTTCTGTTTATTTTTTATTTGGTTTACTTTGGTTTTTTCCCATTTTCATTGCATATTGTTGGGCAGACTCTCCAATTTCTGATATATATGGAATATTTATTTGGGTAGACTCTTAAATTTCCGCTGTGTATGAGTATCAGGGTGGGCGTATGCTGGGGCAGTGGGCGTGGCAATAACAAAAAAAAACCAACCGTGTTACGCGTGGTTGCATTTTATTTGATTGCGGCCAAGCTCCAATTTCATATAAAAAACCGAAACGCCAAAACGCTTGTTTATATTTTCTGGACACCTAAAAAGACTGCAAGTTTACAAGGTTGGCTTAAAAGTCGATCATGTCAATTGTAAAATGAGTTTAGCAACGGTAGACAAATAGCAAGAGAATTTATAAGATTTTTTTTTCAAAATAAACTATGCACGTGTGCTGGCTATTAAAAATTAATCAAACATTATTTTAAAGTCAGAAGCTGGTAAAGTACACACAATTAATATTTGTTTTCTAGAAAAATAGTTTGAATAACTAATAGACAAAAGGCTTATAGTTTAAAAGTAAATATTTTTTATTAACTTTTAGAAAAACTGTAATATTATCAAAAAAGGCTAAGACATTTGGAAAAGTATTTACTAAAGTAACGCTTTTAGTTATTATACGAAGAAAAACCTTTAAAAACCCCTTTAAAATCTAGCAAAAGTGTCTTATTCGATATGGGATCATGATGATTTAGGCTTCAATCACGAGGAGTCCTCACCAAATGCGGCACTTGGTGGCGGGATTCATCTGGCTGGTGGCTTTGCACTGGAAGGTGTCGCCGAACTCCGGCAGATTGCCGAGCACATTGTTCACCCGCTCGTCGTGGCCGGCATGTTGGCTAAGACCACCGCCGCCGCCCTCCCCCGTCGCCGCCTTGGAGCCGCACCAGTTCTGGGCAAAGGCCACGAAGAAGGTCCTCAGATCTGCAGGTTCTCCATTGCTACTCCCCCTCCGCCGTTTATAGGTTTCAAGGGCCAGGCGTAGTCCCTCGCTATCGGCGATGTTCTCGTTGATCGTCAGCGTGGCATTACTGTACCGTTCGCCCAAATAGCAACGCACCCGCAGCCCAAAGCGGATGATGGCCCTGGCTGGCCACTGGTTGTTGACCAACTGCCCGCTGGCATTGTAGTTGATGCCATCGTAGTCGAAGGCGTGGACCATCTCGTGGGCGAGTATGTAGCCCAAGCCGGCGGTTAGTCGGGCATCCGAGGAGCATGGGAGGCGCCCCCTGACAAGGGGCGTGGCCATGAGGCCCAGCGGCAGCTCTATGCGATTCAATTTGAGGCGATAGTAGGCATTCACGAGCAGCGGATCCGAGGGCGCCGAGGTCAGGGGTTCCCCGAACACCTGGCGGAACTCGTTCCTGGCCTGCTGGAGGCTCAGCTGCAGGAGGTTCTCATCGCCGTCCTGGCCCAGGATCAAAGGACTTCCCAGGGGATCCTGGAGTCGCGGGGTCAGCAGTCGCATGGCCCTCAGCTTATCGATTGCCAGGTTTCTAGTGACCAGATCCTCGTCGAATACCTCCGTTTCGTTCAGCAGCAACTCGAACTGCTGCTTGAGATCCCTGAACAGGAGGGCCACCTGCTGCAGGCTCGTGTCGTAGGCATCCTGGTAGCCCTCGCCCAGCACCAGTTGCATTTGCAGGCGACCCAGGGCGCCGGGCATCAGTTTCCTCAGCCGAGCCAGGCAGTGATCCTGCTGGTTGCCCATCGTCTCGTCCTCGTGGCGACGCAGCTCAAAGTGCAGCGGCAGCTGGAGCAGCAGCCAGGTGGAGAGGTTGAGCGGTTGATCCTGTTCCCTGGCCAGCAATCTCTGCAGACCCTGCAGGTAGTCCAGATCGGCCACGATCAGCAGGGTGGAGGGATCCCAGTCCAAGCCCTGGAGGAGGATCTCGAAGTAACGCTTGAGCTGCAGTTCCGGTAGGAGCAGCTCCAAGTCCTTGAGACTCTGCGGCTCCCGGAGGACCAGCGATTGCTTCACATTCGGCTGCAGTTGCTGCAGACTCTTCTCGAAGGCCACCAGATTTTGGGCCAAGCCCGCCGCCCGACGCACCCGCAGTCCCAGCTCCATGAGCAAACCCTTGAGATATCGCTCGTGCAGGAACTCACTTAGGTCATCCTCCCAGCCGATCTGCTCGAAACTGGGCGGGAGTATGTAGAAGATCTTCTGCTCGGCCAGCTGCCAGTTGTCCTTGATGAGGAGCCTCCAGAGGCCAGGTGCTCCGTAGCTGCGCAGGGCGGCATTGGCCAGGATCCAATCGAAGGAGCCGGAGTTATTCGATAGGAGGGGAAACTGGGCTCCACTGCGTGACAAGGCATCGGTGTAGGATTTCACGGACTGGCCACTCGACAGGCAGCTTCTGTAGAAGTTCGACGGGTGGGAGGAGGACTCTACCTCCAGATGAGCGATCAGCTGGAGCTTCAGCTTGGCCACCCACTGGGTGAGCATGTCGTGGGCACCCAGACGCTGCTGCCTCCGCGTCGCATACCAATTGCCGCAGACATGCTGGTGGAAATTCTCGCACGGCTCCACCTCCGCCTCCATGTCGCCGTCGTCCGCCAGATGGCGACACTCCTCCTCGCCCTTCGCTGGGATCAGGAGCAGTTGGGCGGTGAGGAGGAGAAGGACGCCCAACCAGGGGGCTGAAGAAGGAAGCAGCTCCATCCCGCAACAGCGACGTTTGGTAACTGCCTCCAAGTTCTAATTCGAACTTGGGTTCGGGTTCGGCGGGCTGATAACGCCGCCGATAACCGACGATGACATTCAACGTGAGCTCAACGTGGGGTGTCAAATGAGTATGAGGGCCAAGAAAAAAATATTATACCCCAGAAAAAAGAAAGTAAAAATATTATTTCTTTCATAAAAACATTTAACATTAAAGAGGGGTGTCTTAAATATTTTCCACCATCCAAAAAGATCCCCAGAAAATTATTATAACCAAGAGAACCCAACGAAATACATTTTTTACTAATTTCTGATTATTTATAAATGGCTAAATATTACTTTTTTCTTAAAAATAAAGAACATTATTTAGTCAAAGCTGAAGAAAGAACCTATTTTATATTTTATAAGCAGAGTAACATAACCATTAAATCAAGTAATTTAAATTTTCAATGAAGAATGATTAAACATACAAAATCGAAATCTTTGCTCAGCGCAAACTTTAATTTCCACTCAATGGAATCGAAAAACGTGTGTAGTAAATGAGCTCGTCACAAGGCCAAATCATTAAGATGAAACCGGAGATAAGGCTTCGGACCCCCTCCATTTTACCCCCGATTCCCGAAAGTCACTGGGCTTAGCATTTACCGTTAAATCAGAGCCCACACGTAATCAATTAATCATCTTCCCCCCCAAACGCACTCCGCGACTCGCATTCACTCACTTTGCCATGCAAAACCAAATTAGCCGGCCACCTTTAATGATTCTCACACAGACGAGGAAGGGTACACTGAGAAAAAATATCAGAAAACCTTGAAAATCCTAGCAATATGCTGTTCGAAAGATATAATATTATATACTGATTTATAAAGTCTGCGTAATATTTTACATTCTTTTCTGATTCAATTTGTTGCCATTTTCTTGCATTATAATTTGTAATTTAATTTATTAAAAAAATATTAACTAAGGAGAGACTTTAAATAAATAATATGAACTTAATGTTTTTTATTAGAGCTCATTTAATTTTTTTTTTTCAAAATATTTAATATAAATATATATAAATGTAATATATCTCCGTGTAGAGCGGCTGTATTCTGGGTTTTGTTTCGATTGTGAGAAGCGAAGCTCGCTGCGATTGGGGTTTTAATAATGTTGAGAGTCAAGTTTACACTGCCTGAGAAGGAAATAAAATGGCACGGAAAAGAATGAAAGGGAAGAGCTGGGAAAGGGAGACGAACAGATTAGCTTCTCAATTGATTACAGTTCGATTGTAAATGTGACTGTGTGAAATTAAAGAATTTAAATTAAAATAAACTAAGCCAAATAGCCTTGGGGAAATTTATTCTCACCTAAATGGAATTTCTGAATCAAAATATGAAAAAATCTATCAGTAAAGAAAAGTTTCATTATGTCTCTTTATAGATCATATATATTCACATATTTCTATAAATTAAATACCGAAGTAATCTAACTTTAGTTTACTAATAATTCTCCTTTTCTTTTTATTACCAAAGTTCTGTTAAATAAAACTAAATAATATGTTATTTATTATCCATTTTATTTAGCAGAAACATACATATTTATTTTTTAGCTATTTGATTTATATAAATTGGATTTACTTTTCGAACAGTATTTACCTCTCCCAACTTAACTAGTTTCAGAGCTTCCTCCTTTGACTTCTTTTTCCTTTGAGGAAATCCTCAGTTAGTGGCTATTTGGTCAGTCTCGAAATCCCATTGCAATTACTGGATAACATGCATTTAGAAATTGCAAGGGGACTGAGTGGAAAATAGGTTTTTCCATTTAGCCTGCCATTTTCCCATTCGCTTAATTGAGATTTCTCCATTTGTTTATGGCTGTTTAGTAAGTAAACTATCTCGGCACAAGGCGTGTTTGCCTAGGGATCAAGTTTTGACCGCACATCGTCGGTTTTGTGGCGTATAATCAAAAAATAAAAATTCAATTAAAATTCAACAAACAAACTGATGAAGGATGTGCGAAGCAAAAATGTGGGCGAGATATATGAAGGATAAACTTGAAACCAGCTGGTTCACTTGAACCAAAAATAAATCATCAAAGAGAACGCAGGCGTCAGAGGGAAAAGTAGTCAAGACACTGAAAGAAATGCTAAATAAATTTATATTGTTAGAAATATTCCTTTTTTTCTTTAATGTTTGTTTTATTAATTCTTGAAAACAAACAAATAATCTATATTAGAAAGTTGATTACTAAATAATATAATAAGCATAAATGTATGTATTTATATACAAACTATTTAATAAATACATTTATTTGGTAGATTTAAATTGAACCTTCGGAAATACATAGCTAGCCTACATAGCTACCGTTACTTTTCTCCCAGTGCATAGTGTGAGAAGAAGGACCTGCTGGCGGCAGATTCGGCACTCGACGCTTGGCAAATTAGTTTCGAGTTGAGTTTTGGTTGGCGCTCGGCGCATTTCATGCAATTATTTAGTCATAATTAGCGCATAATAGTTGCCGTTTTTCGTCGGCACAAAACTTTGCTCATCTGGCAGGCAGTCCTCTCGCCACCATCCATTTGCCATTTTCTGTTCCACAATTTCACATTTTCACAATTCATCATCATCATCGCAGAAGGCCGGCGAAAGGAGTTGCCGCTCCTGTGGCAGGATAATGCCGGCATTGGATAATCACTGCAGTTGCCACTTTAATCAGAGTGAATTTCGGGCAGACAACTCGAAACCAAATCCTTTCCTTTGCCGTCGCAAATCAATTTTAGACTAGCTTTGAAATTTCTGGTATTTGCATTGTTATTAATTAAATATTAATCAAGTGATGGGCATTACATGATGCAGTGCGTTCCGGGAATATTCCAATGATGATGATGATAGTGATAAACGTGATGATGGGGAGGAGTTGTTTAATTATCCCATTAAGATAAATGATTGTTGAATCCAAAGAAAATCATTATGATTTCTAAGAACATTTAAACCAGAGAACAAAGAATTAAATTGAATTTGAGCACAGAAATCGCAAAGGTTTTTAAATCGTTTAATGCGGTGCATTACTTTTATGCAATAAAAACTTTATTTATTTTAATCGAAAAAATTGAATTTGGTTCTAAGTAGCTGTGTTAGCAAAATACATTTCCAGTCGGCAAAAAAAGCCAAGGGCGTTATAAATGCTTAATGGAAAATTCGACTATGACATACTTGAGCAACATTGGAAATTCATGACTGAACTAAATCGGAGACAACTTAATTGCACCGAAAACATATAATTTTTATCCACTCGTAACCCATTTTACTGTGAAGGCCTTCCCATTACCAAGGTATATTTTTCCAAGAATTAAGAGAGACCATTTGAAGCCGTCAAAATGTCAGAAATTGTTTAGTTATTGATGGAGATGCAATTTTCCATTCAACTTTCAGCGGCATTCAGGGGGGAAAAGGTTGCGTTAATCCGCTTTATGTCGTCTCCAATGGGAAAATAATAATAAAAATAAATTCTACAAAAAAAACTATATATATTAAGTCGTGACAGACGGCGCTGCTCTATTTACAGTTTAAATGCGGCAGGTGCAAGCGCTGGAGTTTGGAGCTTGGAGTTTCCACGTCAATGCAGCTTGACATGAAAAATTCAATTTCCAGCGCGCTTTTCCTCTCGCGTTTCCTTCCTTTTCGCTGCACCCGACACTTTTGTCTTCTGGTGCCTCAATTTCAAATAAAACGAAATGCAATTTGATATTTTACGCGCTGCATTTGTCAGTCTCCCGGCCTGTTTTTCCGGGCCAAAAGCAATTCATTGGCCTTGTTTTTCCGTAAACACTTTCCGGTGCCCACACGAGAGCCACCTTTTTGGCCATGGAAAGCGCAATCTCGGCTCCAGTTGAAGAGTTTCGCCCCGCCGGCGGGCAAACCAATTTTCAGCGAAAACAAAAGGGCAGAACTTTTGAAATTGTTACAACTTGATTCCGGGGAGAAATGCTCGAAATTACGATGCACTCCAAAGAAGTGAGTTTTTGTTTTATTTGTTGAATAGTTGGCATTCTTAAAATGTCTTCTAATAGTACTTTTGCACAATTTAATTCACACGTAATCGAATGAAAGCTATTACTACTTAAACAAAATACATTTTACATTTTACAAAATACAAGCTATAAAAATTGTTAATATTTTTAAAATATTTAGGGTTCTTAAATCTGAACTTGTTAATATGATATTATAATAATATAATCTTAGTCTTTAAGTGATTTCATGAATCATGCTGACTTCTGGTGCTTTCTCCTCCATCTTCAGTAACATTCGCGAGGGCATCATCCGGTGCATTTTGGCCACGGACATGGCCCGTCACAATGAGATCCTCACCCAGTTTATGGAGGTAACGCCCATTTTCGACTACAGCAACCGTGCGCACATCAACTTGGTAAGCCATCGGGGATCTCTTTCGGATCTCAAAGGACCACGATTAATTGGGCTTACTCTCTACAGCTCTGCATGATCCTAATAAAGGTGGCGGACATCTCGAACGAGGCGCGACCCATGGACGTGGCCGAGCCCTGGCTGGACCGCCTGCTCCAGGAGTTCTTCGCCCAGAGTGCCGCCGAGAAGTCCGAGGGCCTGCCCGTGACGCCCTTCATGGACCCCGACAAGGTCAGCAAGCCGGGCTCGCAGGTCCGCTTCATCGGACTCGTCCTCCTGCCGCTGTTCGAGGCCCTCGGCGAACTGGTGCCGGAGCTCACCGACCTCATCATCATACCCGTGCGCATCGCCCTGGAGTACTACAGGTACTGCTAAATAATTTAACAATAGTTTGCAGTAGGAAATACAAAAATATTACATTTATAATTAATTGGTATAAAAATACTCTTTTTATTTCATAATTTCAAGTTTTTAGGATTTGTCTATAATCTTTAAGAAAACTGTAATAAAAAGTAAAAGTATTAATTAATTATATGTTTACATTTTTTATATAAACAAGTATTTAGGATATGAACATTTTAGATTTTGGCAACAAGTTAAAGATCACTTTTATTATTATTATATTACAAACATTATAGATGTAGAATTAACAATGGATAAATTTAATCCGCTTCCAGGCGCCTCAACGATGCCCAGACCAAGACGCGCAAATCGGTGGCGGACAGCAACACGTCGGCGACCTCGGACAGCAACAGCGGCACCATCGACTCGAATGCGGCGATGGTCAGCACCCCGGGGGCGGCCAGTGACAAGCTGAGCTTGGACAAGGCCCAGGGCAATTCGCAGGGCTCCGGCGGCGGCGGCGGCGGCGGCGGCGGCGGAGGAGGAGCCGGCGGGGCAGGAGGCACTGGATCAGGAGGCGGCGGCAACAGTGCCGCCGGCAGCGTCTCGCCACAGATGCCGCGATCCGGCTCGGGGATCAGTGTGAAGTCGCGACGCAGCATTCCCTCACAGAAGTCCGCCTCGAGGACGTCCGTCGATGAGCCCGGCGGCATGGCGGCGGAGCTCCACGATCTGCCCGAGGGCAGCGAGAGCGGCGACTCGGAAACGGCCACCGAAGTGGATGTAAGTTAGACTTTCATTTCAATTTTTTATTTTAAAATCACATCACAGTCAAATGCATTTAATTATCTGTTCAAAACAGAATGCATTTTTGGTGTAATACCATTTTTGGCCAAGTTACAGCAAAAAAAAAAAAAGCAAAAATCCCGAATTTCCAAAAAAAAACAAAATCGGTTTTTTCGCTAAAACAAAGCAAATACTGATTTAAAGTATGGATTGTCATACCTTTCTGAACTCGTTATTAAATTTCCTAACGATTGGCATTTAAACCTTGACATTTTACTTATTTTTAATTTTTCGCAAAAAATCATGGGGTACCCCCTTATAAAAAAATTAAAAATTGGCGAAAATTTTATTTTTCCAAAATCACACGGAAAGTGTTATGGATTTAAAGATAATTTTGTTATCTGTTCAAAACAGTATGTATTTTTGGTGTAGGATCATTTTTGGCCAAGTTACAGCAAAAAAACCAAAAGAAAAAAATTCGAATTTTTGCCAAAAACTGAAATCCCGAATTTCCAAAAAAAAAACAAAATTGGGTTTTTCGCTAAAACAAAGCAAATACTGATTTAAAGTATGGATTGTCATACCTTTCTAAACTCGTTATTAAATTTCCTAACGATTGGCATTTAAACCTTGACATTTTACTTATTTTTAATTTTTCGCAAAAAATCATGGGGTACCCCCTTATAAAAAAATTAAAAATTGGCGAAAATTCTATTTTTCCAAAATCACACGGAAAGTGTTATGGATTTAAAGATAATTTTGTTATCTGTTCAAAACAGTATGTATTTATGGTGTAGGATCATTTTTGGCCAAGTTACAGCAAAAAAACCAAAAGAAAAATTCCAATTTTTGCCAAAAACTGAAATCCCAAATTTTCAAAAAAAAACAAAACTGGTTTTTTCGCTAAAACAATGCAAATACAGATTTAAAGTATGGATTGTCATACCTTTCTGAACTCGTTATTAAATTTCCTAACGATTGGCATTTAAACCTTGACATTTTATTTATTTTTAATTTTTCGCAAAAAATCATGGGGTACCCCCTTATAAAAAAATTAAAAATTGGCGAAAATTTTATTTTTCCAAAATCACACGGAAAGTGTCATGGATTTATAGATAATTTTGTTATCTGTTCAAACCAGTATGTATTTTTGGTGTAGGACCATTTTTGGCCAAGTTACAGCAAAAAAACCAAAAGAAAAAATTCCAATTTTTGCCAAAAACTGAAATCCCGAATTTTCAAAAATAAAAACAAAACTGTTTTTTTTCGCTAAAACAATGTAAATACTGATTCAAAGTATGGATTGTCATACCTTTCTGAACTCGTTATTAAATTTCCTAACGATTGGCATTTAAACCTTGACATTTTATTTATTTTTAATTTTTCGCAAAAAATCATGGGGTACCCCCTTATAAAAAAAATAAAAATTGGCGAAAATTTTGTTTTTCCAAAATCACACGGAAAGTGTTATGGATTTATAGATAATTTTGTTATCTGTTCAAAACAGTATGTATTTTTGGTGTAGGACCATTTTTGGCCAAGTTACAGCAAAAAAACCAAAAGAAAAATTCCAATTTTTGCCAAAAACTGAAATCCCAAATTTTCAAAAAAAAACAAAACTGGTTTTTTCGCTAAAACAATGCAAATACAGATTTAAAGTATGGATTGTCATACCTTTCTGAACTCGTTATTAAATTTCCTAACGATTGGCATTTAAACCTTGACATTTTATTTATTTTTAATTTTTCGCAAAAAATCATGGGGTACCCCCTTATAAAAAAATTAAAAATTGGCGAAAATTTTGTTTTTCCAAAATCACACGGAAAGTGTTATGGATTTAAAGATAATTTTGTTATCTGTTCAAAACAGTATGTATTTTTGGTGTAGGACCATTTTTGGCCAAGTTACAGCAAAAAAACCAAAAGAAAAAAATCGAATTTTTGCCAAAAACTGAAATCCCGAATTTCCAAAAAAAAAACAAAACGGGTTTTTTCGCTAAAACAAAGCAAATACTGATTTAAAGTATGGATTGTCATACCTTTCTGAACTCGTTATTAAATTTCCTAACGATTGGCATTTAAACCTTGACATTTTACTTATTTTTAATTTTTCGCAAAAAATCATGGGGTACCCCCTTATAAAAAAATTAAAAATTGGCGAAAATTTTATTTTTCCAAAATCACACGGAAAGTGTTATGGATTTAAAGATAATTTTGTTATCTGTTCAAAACAGTATGTATTTTTGGTGTAGGATCATTTTTGGCCAAGTTACAGCAAAAAAACCAAAAGAAAAAAATTCGAATTTTTGCCAAAAACTGAAATCCCGAATTTCCAAAAAAAAAAAAAAACGGGTTTTTTCGCTAAAACAAAGCAAATACTGATTTAAAGTATGGATTGTCATACCTTTCTGAACTCGTTATTAAATTTCCTAACGATTGGCATTTAAACCTTGACATTTTACTTATTTTTAATTTTTCGCAAAAAATCATGGGGTACCCCCTTATAAAAAAATTAAAAATTGGCGAAAATTTTATTTTTCTAAAATCACACGGAAAGTGTTATGGATTTAAAGATAATTTTGTTATCTGTTCAAAACAGTATGTATTTTTGGTGTAGGATCATTTTTGGCCAAGTTACAGCAAAAAAACCAAAAGAAAAAATTCGAATTTTTGCCAAAAACTGAAATCCCGAATTTCCAAAAAAAAACAAAATTGGGTTTTTCGCTAAAACAAAGCAAATACTGATTTAAAGTATGGATTGTCATACCTTTCTAAACTCGTTATTAAATTTCCTAACGATTGGCATTTAAACCTTGACATTTTACTTATTTTTAATTTTTCGCAAAAAATCATGGGGTACCCCCTTATAAAAAAATTAAAAATTGGCGAAAATTCTATTTTTCCAAAATCACACGGAAAGTGTTATGGATTTAAAGATAATTTTGTTATCTGTTCAAAACAGTATGTATTTATGGTGTAGGATCATTTTTGGCCAAGTTACAGCAAAAAAACCAAAAGAAAAAATTCGAATTTTTGCCAAAAACTAAAATCCCGAATTTCCAAAAAAAAAAAAATTGGTTTTTTCGCTAAAACAAAGCAAATACTGATTTAAAGTATGGATTGTCATACCTTTCTGAACTCGTTATTAAATTTCCTAACGATTGGCATTTAAACCTTGACATTTTACTTATTTTTAATTTTTCGCAAAAAATCATGGGGTACCCCCTTATAAAAAAATTAAAAATTGGCGAAAATTTTATTTTTCCAAAATCACACGGAAAGTGTTATGGATTTAAAGATAATTTTGTTATCTGTTCAAAACAGTATGTATTTTTGGTGTAGGATCATTTTTGGCCAAGTTACAGCAAAAAAACCAAAAGAAAAAATTCGAATTTTTGCCAAAAACTGAAATCCCGAATTTCCAAAAAAAAAACAAAATTGTTTTTTTCGCTAAAACAAAGCAAATACTGATTTAAAGTATGGATTGTCATACCTTTCTGAACTCATTATTAAATTTCCTAACGATTGGCATTTAAACCTTGACATTTTACTTATTTTTAATTTTTCGCAAAAAATCATGGGGTACCCCCTTATAAAAAAATTAAAAATTGGCGAAAATTTTATTTTTCTAAAATCACACGGAAAGTGTTATGGATTTAAAGATAATTTTGTTATCTGTTCAAAACAGTATGTATTTTTGGTGTAGGATCATTTTTGGCCAAGTTACAGCAAAAAAACCAAAAGAAAAAATTCGAATTTTTGCCAAAAACTGAAATCCCGAATTTCCAAAAAAAAAACAAAATTGGTTTTTTCGCTAAAACAAAGCAAATACTGATTTAAAGTATGGATTGTCATACCTTTCTGAACTCGTTATTAAATTTCCTAACGATTGGCATTTAAACCTTGACATTTAAAAACTGAAATCCCGAATTTCCAAAAAAAAAAACAAAACGGGTTTTTTCGCTTAAACAAAGCAAATACTGATTTAAAGTATGGATTGTCATACCTTTCTGAACTCGTTATTAAATTTCCTAACGATTGGCATTTAAACCTTGACATTTTACTTATTTTTAATTTTTCGCAAAAAATCATGGGGTACCCCCTTATAAAAAAATTAAAAATTGGCGAAAATTTTATTTTTCCAAAATCACACGGAAAGTGTTATGGATTTAAAGATAATTTTGTTATCTGTTCAAAACAGTATGTATTTTTGGTGCAGGATCATTTTTGGCCAAGTTACAGCAAAAAAACCAAAAGAAAAAATTCGAATTTTTGCCAAAAACTGAAATCCCGAACCGCATATAATTTGTTTTTAATTTTTGTTTTTTTATCTTTCTTCTCTTCCACTACAGGTGGCCGAGAAGACGTCCAAGTTCAAGGTGGACACGGAGGGCAGCAGCAACCGCAGCAAGTCCTCGCACTCGACTTCCCGCAAGTCGTCGCGCGAGAAGCGACCCTCGATGATCGGCGAGCTGTGCAGCAGCGGCGGCGGCCAGCGGATCCGCAACTCGTACGGGAACATCCACGGCTACCACAGCAACAGGTGTCACTTCGGCAACAACCGGGCGGTCAGCCTGGATCAGTACAGCAGTGGCGGCAACAATCGCCGCCTCTCGGACGGATTGCCGCAGGTCATCTCGGACAGCAATGTTTTCTACGGCCGCCACAATCGCAGCAGCATGGAGACCTCCGGTGGTGTTAGTGGTGGTGGTGCAGTGGTTGGCATTCCGCAGGACACCAATGCCAATACGAATCATCCCCAGCTAAAGGAGCTGCTGGCCCGCACCGAGGCGGATTCGGAGGGTGAGAGCGAGGAGGAGAACGAGAAGAAGCTGATGATGTTGCCGCTGGCCGTGGCCACCACCTCATCGAATGGCAATATATCGCCGCCCCTGGTGGTCACCGAGCAGATCCTGCCCAGCAATGGCAGCACACGTAGCAGTGCCAGCAGCGCTGCAGTGCCTGGAGGATCTGGATCTGGAGGAGGTGGAGGAAACGGTGGCGGAGGAGCCGCAGGACCCTCGGCTGGCAGCTCCTGGAAATCGAGACTGCGCCAGTTCTCCGATTACTTTAGCTTCAGCTTCGACAAGAGCAACAAGCGCTTCGGCAGCACTCGCAGCAGTCCATGTCCCGGCTCCAATTCCAGTTCGGGCAGGGCCAACAACAATGCCAATGGCTTGGGCGAAAGTCAAGAGGGCGGAGCAGGAGGAGGAGGCAAAAAGCCGGGCATGTGCTGCGCCATCAAGGGTGAGACTGGAGGCGGAGGAGGAGCCCTGACCACCGTGACCACCGGGAATGATGCCCATCAGCGCCATCGCGCCTACAGCCTCGATGTTCCCGGCATGATGCGATACTCCTCCAACGACAGCAGTCGCCATCCCAGCAACAACACCCTGCAGAGTGCAGGAGGAGCTGGGGTAGCTGGAACCGCAGGATTAGCCGGCGGATTAGAGGTCACCACCACCCAGCGAGTGCCGCCCAGTTTGAGTGCGGAATTGGGCCTGGCCAGCGGATCGTCGTCAGAGGCGGGCCCAAAGATTTGACAACAGGGGAGCAGCAGGGAGGATTCGGCGGCAGTGGCCATTAGCAGGGACGTCGAGGAGGAGGAGCCTGAGGAGCCGGAGGAGGAGGACGGGGACGGGCAGGAGGAGCACCGTCATCTGCATCATCAGGATGCCTCGTCCAGTTGCGAGGTATCCTCCATGTCGATGACCGTGTGGTCGGCGATTGGCCAACGTTTGAACGCCCTCGTCTGTCATTGCTGCGAGCGCAAATTGCCAGAGCCGGAAAATGTCTAAGTGAAGTGAGGGAAATACCACCCCAAGTTACTATACCACCCCCTTCTGTACCACCTCCCTTGGCAGCTGGAGGTTCGTTGGCCTGGTAGCTAAGTTTAAGCCTAGCCCTTAACTATTCGCATTAAGCTTCAGATTTTACTCTCTTGTTTTGTTTTTTTTTTTTTCTTATTTTATATTTCCCTCTTGTTTACCTCTTAAGTATTTTTATTTATGTACACGCGCATACACACACAAATATATACATAATATTATTATTAATTGCATTTATTTCGCGTGGATAGAATCCATAGAAAGCAAATGGAACTAGTATTTATTTCAATCTTTTTATTTGCTTATATCAATATTTAAGGCGATGAAGGACCGAACAGAGCACAATGATTTTTTTACAACGTTAGAAGGTGTTTTTAATTGATATATAGTACTTCGCACACTGTAGTGTGATGCCACTGGCGCCCGAACAGGGTCCGCAAGAAAATTTCAAATACTATCGAGTAAATGTTCAAATTTCCTAACTGAAATGCCGCTTACGGAATTCGTAAATATTTAATCCACTTGTATGATCTCTTCCAGAACCATGAGAGTGCCGAAAGCTAATGAATGGTAAAATGGGAATTCCAGAGATAATTAAGTTTGGTAATAGGTCAAATGCATTCAGTTGTTCCCGAGGAACATGGCGTTGATTTTGCTGGAGCCCGGGAATTCCTTGCCATTCTCGACTCCCCCGAATCGATTTCCCATGCAGCTGAACGGGCCGGAAAGCAATGCGATTTGGATGTCAGAGCCGAAAAACAGTTGGCCTTCGCCGGTTTCGATCCGATTCGCTCCGTTCTCATGCGAAATTCACGTCTAATTACGCAAAACAAATTTCGCCAACTGCAATGGATGCATATATGCAACAGGCAGGAGTTTTATTCGCTGTTCGTTGGGTCCCAGTCGCCTAATTCCATTTGCTTGTAGCTCGTTCCCCTTTTTTTTTTGCCATTTTTTTCGGTGTCCGCTGGTTGGGATTTTCCACGTGGGAGGAAAGTCGCTGCAGCGGGATGCCCGCAGGAGCAACCATGTTCCATGGCCAGTCAATTGGATTTCGCCGCCGCAGCTGTGCTGATGATGACGCTGGTGGCAGCACTCAATTAGAAGGCACTGTGGGAGCTGAAATTCTTTCGATTATGCGCGATTTTTCGGCTGCTATGGAGAGTGGGGAGATTTTGGGGCTTTAAAATGAAAAATGAGAAAATCCTTCGGGATGATGAAAATAAATATCAATTTGCATTCGATATTAAAAACGAGATTTGAGGCCAACTGCATTCACATATCGCAGAAAAGTGCAGAAAATATATAAGAAACCCAAGTTAATTATGATCAATGTAAATTTCTGTATGTAATTATGTTAAATATAGCTAAACTCAGACACACACACACACACTGAAACTTTGATTGGCAAAGGCAGAAGTTTGATTCAATTACGATATGGCAACACACAGAGAAAAAGAAGAGCCAAAATAATGAAGTTATGAGATATATTATGGATAAAGAAGAGGCGAGACCAAGCTGGTCCTTGGATACAGATAAAGATACAGTTACATCTACGGATGCAGTTATAAAGAGTTGCATGTGTTTTTTTTGAATGTGTGTAATTAAGCGAGCACTAATTGAGCGTTCAATTCAATAGAGGAGTTAAGATGAATACTTATTCGGTGTACATTTGGGTGTCTAGCAAATCGCAGCAAATACTCTTAAAACTAACTGTGCATTGTAATTGCAAGCTGCAGCATATTTAGATGTGTACGTGTCACTTTCTCTCTAAGTTGTAAGTCATTAAGTAATTTATATATATATTATTGAATATATATAAACCAGATCGCATCTGTGGTGTATGCCCAAACTAATTAATTCTCTGCGTGTGGTCTCCCCGCTCGTTGTGTGTTTTTCTGTAGTTAGATTTGAAACTATCTGCCTAATGATAAGTTCATCGAATGCATTCGTGTATGTACCTTCCAGTCCTCGCCCCCCAGTTACCCCGGTTTTCTGTCAGTGTAGTTGCTTGGACTGAGCAAGACACTAACGTAGACATGGCGCCCGAACAGGGACTGCAGGTGCATATACGCACCACGATCAACTAGCAAAATGGAAAATGATTACAAACTAAATCCCCTGATGGCTAACTCTTAGACCTAAGACTCTAACCTAAACGAACCACTCTAAATTAGCTAACACATCAAATTGATTTGTTGCCTTATACAACTATTACAACTACTGTACTGTGGGTTGGCTTTCCCCCGAGAAACTCATCCACAATCGTCACTGCGTTTTATATTGTTCATGCCACCAACTTCCCTTGTTTGAATGACAAAACAAAAAGACTAAAACTTGAATTTAAACAAAATCAACAAAAACAAAAAAAACCAAAAAAGAAAAAGTAAACCAAACAAAGAACTTTCCAACAAAACCAACTATACATATACATTAAAATATATATATATATACATAAATATTTGTCTTAAAGATACTACAACTACAACAAATCATAAAAAGAACTCTAGGTGTTTTACAAATGTATAAAACAAAACAAAAAACGACAACTAAGCCCAAAAACCAAATGTAAACAATTTTAAGCATAACTAAACTAGTTTAGAGCCCATGCTAAAAACAAAAACGCAAAGCAAGCCATTTCTTGGCCAAAACCTAAAAAGGATGAATAAATTTGACAGGCCGAAAATGAAAATGTCCTTGCAATGGAGCACTAGATATCCATAATTCATTCAAATGACCAAGTTTTTCAGCCGAAATAACAGTTTTTAATGATTGATTGATTCACTCGTTACAATTTATCTCAACATATTGCGATAAGATATTCTTTAAATAATAATGACGACAATAGGTGAATATCTTATAGACAAATAATATGTTTGGATCATAATTTCCACCTAAAGCCATTCAATTAAAATAAAACTATATTTGTTAAAGTCCGAGTTACATTTTAAAATAACCTGAACTAACACGATAGGAATAACATTTTATTGAAATGTTTTTTATTTTGTCAAGATAAACCTACATAACGTATAATTCGAAGGAAGAAACAAAATAGTTTGGCTCACATTAGGATTTCCAAATCGATATGTTATCGATATACTTGCCAAACATTGGGCGACTTGCAGGGGCATTCTTTTCGCTTTTCGGCAATCACGTAAATAATTAGTGTACTTTTTGGCAGTCAATTAAATGCATCCCCCTTCCGAAAGTTGGTTGAATGATATGTGGGAGAGATCGATAAGCCGGATAAGATCCGATAGCGATAGATCGATAGAGCGAACAAGTTCCAAGGACAAATGCTTGTTCGTACCTAAGCAAATATTTAGGATATGAGCAATTTGGACCAACTTGACTAGACCCCAACATTTACCCATTGCTTTCCTAGCCCCCAGCAGCTACATGTTTATGTGTAAGTGTATGTGCAAAACGATAACGATAGCGATACCGATTACGATTACGAATCCACAGACACACCGACACGGACACAGATACAAATACAAATACAAAAGTCTTAGTATGCAGTTCAACGTATGTAACAATCTCGTAGGTCTAAACCACAACTACCTGTCGACTTACCGATCTAGATCGAGATCAGCAATATCAGCAAAAAAAAAAATATAAAAAAAGGAAGCGGACTAGAGGAAGACTACAAGCGGGACAGTGGGAATGGAATTAAAGAAACGCTAGAAACGGAACCGTAACCGCATGCATCTTACTTTATACTTTTCTACGTGACTTACAAACTCGAGCTGGAGACGAAAAACAACTAGAAAACTAAAAATAAACTTCCTAAACGGTTTCCACACAAACACAAGCCTACCACACGAACACACACACCCTCAAATCCAAGCACACAAACGCAACTCTGTCAATGAGAAAGTCGCTGGGGAAAAGTGTAATTTCTCACCACTTTATGTCGTACAAACCATTTGACCAGTGTGACCTTGCACGCGACAAAACTTCAAACCAATGTGACCATGCACGCATCTGATTCGAAAGCTGAAAACTAAGAACAGAACATAGGAAAATCTCAAGGGGAATTGCACTCTTTCAGCAGCAACACTCTTTGACTCTGTCTGCCGATTAATCGAATGTCCAGGCAAGGCATCCAACCACCGATAATGGACCACACCCTGCACCAGATCGTTAACCCAAAACAACAAAACAAGAGAACAACCCGATTCCCGAACTGCTTAACCCCTGAACGCCTTGGCCATCTACCGCGCCATCTACACTTGGTAAACAGCGATTCTTCTACAAAAACTAAGATGCAACTATTATATGTGTAATTACTAGTGACCCTCCTGAACAACTGACAAAGCCTTTACTCCAAGAACACACACAGAAAAATACAAAGACTACAATTTTAATATACAAAAGCAAGAGAAGCGAAATTTTAAACGAGCGGATAGCAGATAGAAAGAGATATCCTTGAACGGCATTCTTCGGCAGGCCGAAGCCTAGATGCTCTTTCAAAGCCCACACAACACATAAGAACCTAAGAAAAGATCTATTATACATATATACATATATAAGCCTGGCCGCTTGCTCTTCAGTGTTTTCCTCACTGGAACTGTTTTTCTCTTCTCCAAAGTTGCGAGTCTTTTTTAAAAAGAGAAGGCAACCCCAAAAAATATAGAAGAAGAACGCTGGAGATACCCTTGCAAAGTAGCGAAAACCCTTTAAAACGATTCTTGAACTCTACCTTTTGCAGGGGCATCAACATGCTATATAGTATATTTTCAAATTTTATGTCAATGGAAAGAAATCGATATATACATACATATATATATACACATACCAAATAGAATCATATTATATGTATACAAATAGCTATAATTTGTAAGTGACAGCAGAAATCAGAGTGCAAGCCCCGATATCATAAGGATATTTCTTCACACAGATACGAAACACAGAAATACTGAAATAATGAGAAATAAAAACACTTCCCGAAAGTAGGTGAACTCTTAACGATGATCAAATAGTAAGGATCAGGAAATATTATCGCAGCAGCAAAGTAAACTCTAGCAGAAGAGCAAGTATTGAGTGTAAATTAAACAAATTCAAGCACTTGGAGGCACAGCAATCAGTTCCTCACCCTTCCTCACTGACACCAAAACCCCGAAAATTAATAATAATACTACCCCCTCACCATCCGAAAGAAAATAACCACAGTACATGCATATATAGAAGACAAAACCAAAGAGCAAGACAAAAACAAAGCTGAGCAAATTCTATGTGAAGTAATATATAGTTATTATATATACATACACACCTATACAAGCCTAAAACATATAAACGTAAAGAGCTCTTGGCACACCCTAACCAAAATAAAAGAATCAAATATCGCTGAGCCACCCTCACAAAAAAAAAAGAAGAAAAGATAAAATACTGGGTATACAACTAATAAATCAGCTAAGAAACGAGAAATTCAATGAAACTTTTCCGAAAATGCATTTAAATGGTAAACAAATATTTAAATGAGATAACTCAACTTGTATTTAACACTTAGTTATGTCCAAACTCAGATTAATGGCATACAAACAAAACTACACACGGATACAGACAGACAGACAGACGGAAGGACTTCCCAAGGACATACCAATACCAATACCAATACAATACAATACCTACGAGACGAACAAACCAACCTAAGGACAAACTCACACACAGGTATTTTTGTGTAAAAGTATAAAACAGAAAATATACTAATGAATGAATAATAATTGAAATAAAATCATTTCCAAACTACTTATTAAAAAAAAAGACTGTCTTGATGTTTTTTTGGGAAAGGAAGGAAAATATGAATCAGTATTTGCTTTGTTATAGCGAAAAAACTGCTTACATAAAAACATACTGTTTTGAACAGATAACAAAATTTGCTATAAATCCATAAAACTTTCCGTGTAATTTTGGAAAAATAAAATTTCCGCCAATTTTTAATTTTTTTATAAGGGGGTACCCCATGATTTTTTGCGAAAAATTAAAAATGAATAAATTGTCAAGGTTTAAATGCCAATCGTTAGGAAATTTAATAACGAGTTCAGAAAGGTATGACAATCCATACTTTAAATCAGTATTTGCTTTGTTATAGCGAAAAAAGTGCAACGTTTTAGCGAAAAAACGGGTTTGGTATTTTTTTGGAAATTCGCGATTTCAGTTTTTGACAAAAATTGGAATTTTTTCTTTTGGTTTTTTTGCTGTAACTTGGCCAAAAATGGTCCTACACCAAAAATTCATACTGTTTTGAACAGATAACAAAATTTGCTATAAATCCATAAAACTTTTCGTGTAATTTTGGAAAAATAAAATTTTCGCCAATTTTTAATTTTTTTATAAGGGGGTACCCCATGATTTTTTGCGAAAAATTAAAATTAAGTAAAATGTCAAGGTTTAAATGCCAATCGTTAGGAAATTTAATAACGAGTTCAGAAAGGTATGACAATCCATACTTTAAATCAGTATTTGCTTTGTTTTAGCGAAAAAACCAGTTTTGTTTTTTTTTTGGAAATTCGGGATTTCAGTTTTTGGCAAAAATTCGAATTTTTTCTTTTGGTTTTTTTGCTGTAACTTGGCCAAAAATGGTCCTATACCAAAAATACATACTGTTTTGAACAGATAACAAAATTATCTTTAAATCCATAACACTTTCCGTGTGATTTTGGAAAAATAAAATTTTCGCCAATTTTTAATTTTTTTGTAAGGGGGTACCCCATGATTTTTTGCGAAAAATTAAAAATAAGTAAAATGTCAAGGTTTAAATGCCAATCGTTAGGAAATTTAATAACGAGTTCAGAAAGGTATGACAATCCATACTTTAAATCAGTATTTGCTTTGTTATAGCGAAAAAAGTGCAACGTTTTAGCGAAAAAACGGGTTTGGTATTTTTTTGGAAATTCGCGATTTCAGTTTTTGACAAAAATTGGAATTTTTTCTTTTGGTTTTTTTGCTGTAACTTGGCCAAAAATGGTCCTACACCAAAAATTCATACTGTTTTGAACAGATAACAAAATTTGCTATAAATCCATAAAACTTTTCGTGTAATTTTGGAAAAATAAAATTTTCGCCAATTTTTAATTTTTTTATAAGGGGGTACCCCATGATTTTTTGCGAAAAATTAAAAATGAATAAATTGTCAAGGTTTAAATGCCAATCATTAGGAAATTTAATAACGAGTTCAGAAAGGTATGACAATCCATACTTTGAATCAGTATTTGCTTTGTTTTAGCGAAAAAACCGGATTTGTTTTTTTTTTTGGAAATCCGGGATTTCAGTTTTTGACAAAAATTTTAATTTTTCTTTTGGTTTTTTTGCTGTAACTTGGCCAAAAATAGTCTTACACAAAAAATCATCACGTCTAGATGGCGCTATTTTTATACATGCAGCTCGTTTATTTCCTTAGATATGCCACACAGATAGCGCGCTGCTAATAAAAGTTTATTATTGTTTAAGCAAATTTAACTTAAAATAATGTAAGTAAGTTTAACGCAAGTTTAAACCAATATAACTTAAAATAATTACAATTTAAAAGTTGTTTTTATTGTCATTTTCTTTTTATTTTCTTAATAATTTCTTACAGACACATTTTCTCTTAGTAAATTTGAAAGTTTACCTTTAATTTTGGTGCGGTTTCCTGAAAAAGCTGTAGAACATTTTAAAAGCAATTTTTGGCAAGAAATAGAAAGCTTTCAATCGGTTTGAAGAACTACTAGAACACAACGCCTGCGAATGTTTTGGAAAAGCTAAGCAATGTTGTGATGTTGCTGCTGCGACAGCAACATTGCTGCTGGGTTGCTGCTGCTGTCGCAGCAACATCTAGTGGGGCGCAGCCTCAGCGACGCCGTCAGTTGGCTCTTGACTCTCGGTGGCTCTGCCCGGAATCGGAATTCGGAATTCGGAACTCGGAATCGGAAACGGAACTCGAATCGGCATCGAAATCGGGTTCTTTGCCCGGATTGCAATTCAGACCGAAAGAGAGTAGTTCGGCACGGTTGCAGGTTTGCACTTGCAGCAGCAGCAGCAGAGGCAGTGGCAGCTAAAATCAACAATATCAACAAAGGCAACAAAGACGGTGGGCAAAAAGCAATCAGCAAACAGTCGGTTGTAAAAAGGACTCAGAAAATAGGAAAATCGGGGCGAGAAAAAAGGGGGGTGGTGGGCTACTGCTGGCTGGGAAATTCGTGTTGTGCTTGTGTTTTTGTTTTCACATTTCCCTCTTTTTTTTACAAGTATTTTTAGTGCTTGCGTGCGAAATTTTTGTTGGTGTCAAAGTTAAACATTTCACGTGAAATGTAAGTAGCAAAGCCTTGAGAATACCAAAAAAATAGTCAAAATAGGAAAATAAAGAAAAGGGAAAATCAATGCGCGTATGCGTGTGCCTTCTCTGTGTGTGTGTGCGAGTGTGAGTGTGGTTGTAAGAAGGAAAATCCATAAAACGGCGTGAAGTGAAACTCGAACTTGTCCTGGTCAATGCGAAAAATCCAAGCAAATAATTTATTAGATGCGAATTAAAGACGTACAAGTGTGTGTGCGTGTGTGTGTGGGTGAGCGGGTGTGTGTGTGAGCTATTTTTCCGTTTTTGAGCCAAAATCCATTCATCTGTGGTAATAAAAGCGAAAAACAAAGGAGGAAATGCTTTGTAAACAAGCAATTCGGCTGCCAAACACGGAACCGCCGAACAGCTGATCCGCCGCCCAGCCCACCCACTCACACACACACTAACACACAGGCAAAGTTGAAATTGCTGCCAAAAACTGTCTGTCGACACAATGCAGAAGAACTTTTCGGCCCACAGAACAGTGGGCAGAGCTTGTGGACACTTGATGTAAACACCAAACCACTTAGATCTTACATTTTTCAGACAAAGTGGAATTAAACTTAAAGCTTCAGAGGACTAGAAAAATGTATTCTTCTATTTTATTATGTTCGAAAGTAAATACTGTTTAACGTTCGTTTATTTTTACCCCACTTTTCTATTCGATTAAACATATTAAAAGTTCCTTATGTATGTGTTAAAGTGTTATAGTAACAGTTTAAAATTTGTTAATAAATTCGTACAATTTTTGCTCTAATTTTTTAATCATTTAAAAATATGTTAAAATATCTATTTTATAGAAAAAAGTTTGCCAGAATAATTTGAAAATTTGTTAATTTATTTTCCATATCTTAGATAGGCAAAAAATTATACATAAATATCTTTGGAATTTTTTAAATTGTGTGTAAAATGTTTTTGGGGATATAACTTAATTCCACTGCACAACAACATCAAATTGATTATGTTTCCCATGATCTATCACCTTTCTCCAAAACGAACACACACGCACACACACACAGAAACGAGTAGTGCAAGGACAGGCGAGCAAGAAGAAGCAGCAGCAGAAGTACAAATAATTGTAACAGCAACAGCAACATTTGCTGCAAGTGCAGCTCCCACAGCCGTCGCCGCCGCCAAGTTCAAAATCAACGCCTGACAATGACAAAAGCAGCAACGTGGCGCCCACCAAGCCCCAAAATAACAGCAATTGAAGCAAAAACAGCAGCAACATTAGCAGTAGCAGCAGCAGCAGTTGCTGCTACAACAGCAACATCGGCAGCAGCAGCAACTGCAACTAAAGCAATAACAATCAATGGGCCCCAAACGACATGGCGACGTCAACGAGGCTGCACACCAGCAACACCAAAAATGCAGCAGCAACAGCAACAGCAGCTGCAGCTGCAACAGCAACAATCGCACTTGCAACGCCTGAAGGCGGCCGGTTGCCTGGGGTCGTGGCTGCCATCAATGACGTCGATGTGGCTGCCAACCGACTTTCTTGCCCAACTGCTTTTGGCCCTCTGCCTGCTGGGCTGCCTCAGCCCCTTTACAGGTAATTAGCATTTCATTTGCAGGCCCCATGCCCATTTTGAATCACAAATATATATATGGGGATATTATCTGGCTCTGGGGTGGATACATATGAGTCTTGAATAGTCTTTAAGGTTCTTATGCCTACTAGACACCTAAAAAACTTTTCATATTGATTTTGTTAGCAGGAATACGGTACACAAAGTATTATGTTTGCTCATTTTAATCTTATTCCCCAAATAAATTAAGTTCTATCTTCTATTAAAGTACAGATTTGTTTAGCACACTTTTAAAAACCATATTTATGCTTAAATAAATAAATAACCCCAAAGTCCCAATAAATAAATAATAAATTCGTTATAACGTTTACTTTTATCATATCTGAGGTGCTTAATAAGGTCCACCTTAATAGATGGTCGTATTCATTTGCATCTCCTCGTTAGCATCGTTTCTTTGTCTCAGCACCTAAATCGAATCAGTTTTAATGCCCTCTAATGACGCGATTATCCAGAATAACATTTGCGATTCGCAGCGTTTCCCAGAGAATTAATTTCGTAGTGGATTCCCGCAGAGAAAAAACTGTCCGAAAATTTTCCCCAAACAATGTCAGCCAGCCTTTGGTTTGATATTTTCCCATTCTTTTCCTTTTTTTCTGCTTAAATTTGCATATATCGAAGGTTGCAAACACCGAACCAACACTCCACTTTCTAAGGCGCCGGTGAGTCGGCCATAAATCTGCCTATTACAGTGAATATTCCCCTGAAGAAATCCCTAGATATTTGCGATTCAAAATATAAGGTCATTTGTTTTAATATAATTCAATTATTCAGCTGCCTAAATGCACTTAAGAATGGGTATTTGTTAACTGCAGGCAGTATAAATAATAAATCAATCCAGAGGTTTAAAATCAATTCCTTTTCAGCCTGCCAGTAGGCAAATAGAAATAGGCCAGTGATCACTGTAACTCACCTTGCCAGTGCTCAATCAAATTTGATGATTCTGTTTTTCTTTTATGTGCCAGTCGGAGTCGAGCCATAAACAATTGCCAGCGGAAAGGGAAAAGTCTTGAGATTGCCAAAAAGGGTAAAAATACAGTCCATAGAAGAGGGTTTACAGAAAAATAGTCCGATAACATAAACATATTTTATTTATTTTATTTATTTATATTCTGGTTGGGGTTCTGCAATTACAAATGACCTCCAAACAATTAAACATATTTTAATATTGGATATATATAATATTTCCATATTTGTTCATATTTCTATTTATTTAAAACAATTTATTCTCGCAATACTTAATACTTATTTTTAAAAATATGAATTGAAAGGAACTTATAAATGTTTTTTTAAGATTTTTTAAATGGTTCTCTAATAATAATTATAAATAATATTTAATTTTTTTCCAATGATTCATAATTCTAAGTTAGGAAATACTAATTTAGGCTCCGTTTTCGTACAAAGCTAATGGATTTTTCACAGCCACGTATGTGCTTTCTATTGAGCAGTTTGAGTTGTTAGTAAGTTGGCTACAACCTTGACTTTGCACATGCAACGTACATGGCTGCTTTAACCCTGTTTTTCCACCCCAAAACACACACACTTTGGTTACACAAAATTTGAATGTTAGAACTAGAAAGCAGAAGAATGGAGGAAAGTGGAACATGTGAATGGCGCTTGAGTGCTCCTGATGATTCAACTTGAGCCAGATGGATATCGAACGATATCCTCCACAATCAATCTTGAGGCATTCTATGGCACTCGATATAGCATACTTAGTGGCGCCGGGGTCTAATTAATAACACGTTAGCCATTGTGGACGCCAGTGGGTTGAGAACAGGGATGGAATATTTTAAATATATTTTATAAATTTTTTTTGAATATTTACCTTTTTCCTGTTGGCAATATTCAAATTATTATTCATGAAGTTGAAATCACTTATAGAAATGCCTAAAAGTATGCAGCGCCACAAAGACTGAGCGAATCATTGGCGCTTCCATTCTAAAAATATATTGTAGCATACTTTTAGACACCTAAAGTCAGACAAATAGGCGACCTTATCCCATTAAAAATCTAAATATTGCAAAAAACTTCACTAATAATAATAAGTTCGTTAAATTTTTTTATAAAAATTCCGAATTTCGAATGATATTATATATTTAGAAGTTAATAAATATATGAATATCCCATCACTAGCCCATTAGCATTAGCTTACATAAAGTGTTGCGTTTCAGCTAATTACAGTGGTGCGCTACCATTCTTTTCCTTCGTGATGGTGGTGCAATCAATCGACCGTTGAGTGGTGACAAGAGTTGGGTGTGCTGGCAGTGCCAGTGCCATCGAGATGCCATCGCCATGGGGTGATTATGGTCAACGATGCAATCGGCTGGCCAATCGATCCGTTTCCACGGCTAATCTGGGCCTGAGGCGCCCGGTCAGGGTCATCCGGAGGCCCTCATCCTTGGCTCCTTAAATTCACATGAGGGTGCTCTCGTTACTGAAACGATCTGGATTTTTTAAATAATTATTTCACTATTATTATACCAAGGCCAACTTCAATTATAACTTTTTACTCGAGTCAAAATGTGCACGTGCCTTGCTTTTGAAACTCTACTTTCGAACAATCCTCTTAGCCCATTACGCATACGACACGTTGACAGGCAAAACCAGGAGGCAAGTGCTAAAAGTGGCATTAGATGAGGAAAAACCGAAAGGGAAATGGAAAATGGGAGGGGGCGACGGGAGGCGTCGACGTGACCGGGCTAATTACACTGCACCATGGCATTCAGCAATGGTTTTTATAATCTTCGCTTCCGTTAGCAATTCGCCGAGTCTCTCGACTTGGCCAAAACAAAATGTCCACAAATGTTTTGAGTCGCTTTTCATGAGGCTTTTCCATTTTCCGTTTACCCCCGCACTTGGAAAATTCGTATTAGTGTCGGCCATTGATTGCAAAACACTAAAGCAAATCAAAAATAAGTGTTTCAACAAAGAAAAGTAGGAATGGTATAATAATATCTAGAAAATATCTAAATAAAGTTAAAGTCCTACAATTATATATAATTTACACTGTAATATATTCCTAGTTTCGCTGGTCATTTTCGGGAATTTATTTTTTCTAGAATACATTTTTTTTCTGTGCATAGAGCGGCGAAAGAGAGCCCCAAAGCAGGCAGTAAAAGTGGAAAACTTGATGGCTGCACTCACTCAACGATGCCACCGTGACCCTGCCACTTTTCCAGCCCCTTTCCCTTCCGGCTTTTCCCGCTTTTCCACCGCCTTTCCTTCGCTGAGGCATTTATGAACTGCTTCGACACAAGGCTGCAACTGTGGCAGTGCATTTCATTTAATTTTTCCTCTGTTTTCTGCCTGCGAAAGAGGCTCTTTGTTGTTGGCCAGCCAGCATTTTGAATTGGCCACGAGTAGTAGGAAAAGCGGAAAATCTTTTTAGCATTCTTCTCGTCAAGTGCGGTGGAGTGGCGTGTGGCGTTTGACATTGAAAGTTAGCTTCCCACATTTCCGCTGCAAATTGATAAAGATTTTTCCTTTGACAGCTTCAAAGGAAAGCATCAAATATTCTACAGTGCGGTTTTACATTAAATTCTATTTTTTATACCAATACAAACAACTTTTATATATTTTTTAATAATTCATTTTATAGCAATTACAATAAATTTAGTTGTTTAATTGTATTAATTTACATTAAATAATAACGCATTTTTAAAAAAATCCGAAAGTCACGTAGATATTTTAAATCCATTAAAGTTAGCTTAAAAATCAACATATTTTGTTATCCATTTTCCACTGAATTAAAATAGAAAATAAACAGAATGAAAATAAAATTACGCACACAGAAAATGCCATAGGAATTCAAGTGATTGACATAAATTGCCAACGAAACCAAACGAAATAAAATGAAAACCAAGTGGTATTGACACATAAACATGCATTTCAATTTGCACAAAATCTGCATTTAAATATCTATATCTATATATATATTATATTTACAACGCCAATCGATAGATTAAACTCAATTGCTGGGCAATTGAATCTGAATCGAGAATCGAGTGCACTCACTTTCGCCTTCCTCAATTTACTCGTCTCGCTGGGAACTCTAATTATTTTGAAATACTCGTTAAATGCACTGCTAATTTTTCTAATTGCCAGTTGTCACGAACTTTCGACCTGCACAATTAGTGTGCAAATTTAAAGCGGTGAAAATTGATTTTCCCTGAAAATAGAAAATAGAACAAACGCATTTCGGATGAATTCCCGCGCCAAAAGCGGAAAAAAACACTTCAGCAGGATGTTTCTGAAGAGCTTGTGTTGGGTCGCCTTGTGAAATGTCACAACAAAAGCTATTTATAGGTGAACCGCGGCCCTGGACGCACGCAAAACCCCCCTGAAAACCCCCCGAAATACCCTGAGAACCTAAATAAAAAAACCCATGTCCGTCGACCGGATTCTCAACACTCGGGTCAGGTGGAAATGAAGAACGCCAGGCATTAAAAAGTAATAAACATAATTGTAAAATAATACTGGCGCTTCTATAAAATGCATTTCCCAGCACAAATAAAAAGCAGAGCACTCAAAAAAAATATAAAGTAATTTGAAACTAGTAAAAAATCATCATTTAGTTTCAAAATGAAAAGTTATATTTAATTTAGTTTTTTAATACTTTTTCCAAATACCCTAAATGGAAAAAGTTTTTTGTTTAAATATTTTTCTTCAAATTAATATAAAATAATATTTATACAACTTTTAATCTTGACTAAAATTAGGTATTATTATTTTTAATGGTAATAAGACTTTTATAGAGATTCTTCGACTTTCACACATTTTTCTCCCAGTGTGGGCTATCCACACTGAGAAGGGCGAAGGTTAAACAGAGGATGGGTGGGTGGAAAGGGGGTGGGGATGGCGTGGCCTGCTAAACTTTGACCCAGGACACAGCTAAATTGTTTGGGCGACAGCTGGCTCACGAAAGTTGAACGTTTGCTTTTAATTATTCAGCGATCTTAGAAAGCGGACTGCAGCGAATGAAAGAAAAGGTGAAAGTGAAGAAGGCAGAAAATCGAATGGAGATGGCTGGGGGAAAATGGAAAAAAGCGAAAGCTGGCCAAGAAGCGAGGAAAACCCGGTATGATATATATGTAAGTACATATGTACAAAGGACACGAAGCACGTGCAGCTGCAGAGGCAGAAAACCGTGGAAAATGACAGAAGAAGGGCGGAAAAACGGAAAAGCGAAAAGGACGATGCAGGGCAAACAAACAAAGTGAACAAACAACTGCAGCTTCCGCCCAAGTGACGCCGCCACCCCCTTCCTCCCACATTTTCCCAATGCTGCAACGCAACTCCCAAAAAGTGAAAAGAAAAACTGGCAAAAAGGAAAGAAGCTTGAAAAATATCGAAAGAAAACAATTTGGCTGCCGTTTGCCTCTGATTTCAGTGAGAGAAACAAATCTTTTAAGGAGTATTTCAAGAAAATAGCTGGAGGAAAATTTAAAGAAAAAATAATCAGAAGTTTTTTTCTAAATACTAAATATTTTTGATGTTGTTTTCCCATAATTAGTATTCAAAATGTGTTATTATTTTTAGTTATTTGCTTATGGGCGCCTACAATTCCCAAGCGATTATTATGTCGGACATAACAGCATTTTGGGACATAAATATTTGTTTTATGTGTAGAACGCGACCCCCCAAAGACCGCATTCGAATTTGCGGTATTGTGGCTAAATAAACGTCGTTAACAGTTAATGTTAAAATGTTTTATAGCAACATGCTGCATTGCAACAACTGTTAAAAAACTTTCCTTGTGTCCCAACAATGTTTCAGCAGCTTTGTTGTCAAACAATTTTTGTGTATTTGAAAAAAAAAGTAAGTATAGAAATTCAGTTTTTTTTTTTGTGTTAAAATATTAAACTATTTTCAAAAAAATGTTGTATTTTTTATTTATTTGTTTTTCTGCCACTAAAACTTTTGAAAAATCAGAAGAAGTGTTTACCTATTTTTCAACATAGGAGCATACGTGGCGTATGATTAATTTTTCACATAAATCTCATAAAACAGCTACGTAAATTTTCATTCATAAAGTATATCAATTAATATTTCAATTGCCTTTGTGAAACGAACTGACAGTAAAAATCAGGCGAATTAATACGAATTTAGTTCAATGGCGAACGGCGCATAACACGTATTATCTGGCTTTCGGTTCGAGCGATTTGGCACATAACCCCGGTTCACGCGAATTGATAGTCGCTGATCTGGGGATCAAGCGGCGGACTAGCCGGATTGAAGTGGAGCATTGGCAATATAATAAACCCCCTATATACATATATAATCTCTGCCCATCGAAACGACTTGAATATTTGAATTAATTCGCCAATTAAATAACCAACTGCCTGTCTGATTTTCCAGCTGCACTCGAGGAGGACTGCGTTGACTTTCAGGGCAACAAGGTGAACCACGGAATGCTGTACGTGCCGGGACCCGGGGTCTGCAGCCTCTGCGTCTGCTACCACTCCGAACCACTCTGGTGCAAGGCCATCTACTGTGATCCGCCCTACGTGAGTCCCACGTCCAAATTACTTTAATTATTAAATAAAAAAAATAATTTTTTTTTTGGAAATTTTTATTTCTATATTTTTCACTTGGTATCATAAACAACTAATCAAATATAATACATAAAAGTCTCGACAAAAAACTTAAAGTAGCCTAAATCACCCAGAACGAATTGACATAAAAATCTAAAAAAAAATTAAAACATAAATTTAGAATTAATAAAACTAAGTTTAGAGCTTAGAGAAATCTGAGTTGATTAATAAAATAAAAATATTTTTTAAATCATAAAGATATATTTCTCAGTACGTTTCATAAGGAATGAAAATTCATAGAAATATAATAAAAAGTAAATATTAAAATTAACTCAAATTCTTTACTTCCATTTAGTTTTGCAAAAACTTTCGTGTTGGCGAGCGATGCTGTGAGTTCGAATGCTTGGATCCGCCCGGCGAGGACAAACTGTACCAGGTGAGTGATCCTGGAAATATCAAATGAATAATATATATAATATGTAATATCTTCCCATAGGAACGAATGCGAAAGAGGGCCGAGATATTGGCCGGGAACAGTACAGCCTCGAATGTGCAACTGGCCCCGATAGCCATGTCCACCATAATGCTGGGATTCCTGGGCAACAGCTTCCTCAACTTATAACTTGAAGTCCAATAGCAAGAGATGGAGATGAATCTAATGAATCAATGGCGAAGCTAAGCGAAGCGAAGTTAGAACCTCCTCATTTTTGTTGCTCCTAAAGCGTAGGACTCTCTCGAAAATTATTACAGTGTAATAAGTTAAGCAAACAAAAACCATGCCAGATATTTGTAGTGATATGTCTGAGCATTAATCTAGAGGATGCAAAGGCATCGTGCCATCGATGCGTAGGTTTTCACTTATATCCCCAGACTTATAATAGGTACAATAATAATTTCAAAGGTTATGGCGACGGCAAGAACAGTTAGGGCACCTCGAATACTTTCAATGTGATCCGAATCCGAGTTCGAATTCGAATCCGAATCGAATCGAGTCGGTAGAGCCAGATATAGCAGATATAGCATATACATTTACATCTACCTAAGTGTACATGGGTAAGCAACACCAAGAAACCAGAACAAACTCATCAAGCAAACGTATAAGACAGTCTCTAGCTCCTAAGACTCTATAGTAAACAAAATATATATATACAGATGTGGAAATCTACGTAAGCATATATTGTACATAAGAGTATATAGCTCTTTGTATCGGATCTAAAATTGTTGATTAGTGTTTAGCTAACTGAATGAAGGCGACTTCGGCTAGGAAGATAGGTTTTTTTAATCCAATTAAAATGTTCACCACGAGTACACCACAGTTCACCACATTAGATCCTGCTCCCAGTAGATTTTCTTTAAGAGCTGATAAACTCTGAAAACTGTTTAGATTAATTTTAAAATTAAATTTTTTTTTTTTAAATTAAACAAAAATATAATCTGATTTATGGCCATTTAAGTCTAAGCAATAAGAAATCGTTCAAAACGATATTCATTCTTGGGGAATGTCAGCTCTACTTTCTTGTTCTATTTTTCTAACCACACCAAACACGTTAAATACTTATAAATATGAGGGTAAAGTAAGGGCAGTTCGATAGAAAATCTCGATCTTAGTAAAAGGTAGTAAATAACACATATCTTGGCAACATTTTTTCCAAAATATTATAACAGACACAAAACGGACACGAATGAATCAGAAATCGGAATCATTAACTCTTGCATTGGTGCTAATTTTATCGTAGGCTTAAATACACATACACACACACTCCCCACTTCGCACATCACACTCCAATCATATTGAATCAAATTCTATATATCAATTAGGTAAAATGTAATCGAGAGCAAGGAAGGTCTAGCATATACAAGTAGTTAACCAATTAAAGAAAAATTTGCCCAAGGTAAACCTGTTAAAGATCTAATAATAATAACTAATGAAAACTATAATTAAAATTAAAACTAAATCCTATGTTCACTCGCTCGATAGGTTTTACATTTCCCGTTTGGACAAATCGATTGCATAATCAGCGAAAAAAAGAAAAACAAAAATGGAAAACGTTCGGCAAAGCTTGGTAGATATGTAAGAAAAAGAAATATCCCCTTCAAGAGGAGTAGATCTTGTTTCAACTTTAGGCTAAAGACTCTGAAGCCATCTCCGTCTCTTTCTATACAGAATAGTAAGCAATTAAATCTAGAGATATAGCAGGACCAGCAAATCAAACCAAAAAATATAAAATGGAAATAGAATCGATAAAAGTCAATATATATATACTATATATAGATCAATCCAAGGGAAGTTGGTCAAATTTTTTTCACTTGACAGCACATCAAAGCAAAATACAAAATACAATTAACAATAAATACATATATAAAATGCGGGAAAATCCGAGAAAAAAGTGGAGTACGGCTGTGAAATTATGTTTGCTTTAAAATGCATAAGCGCAACTGTAAATAATAAACGATTACTAAAGTATATAGCCATAATATGGTAAAACTATTCAGATCCAGAAGAGAAATCGATGAACGCGAAGGGGAATGAGAGGAGAATAACTAATTAACTGAATGTACAATTCAATATGCCACAACATCTGACCAATTATGATCCATAACAGATAAAAGAATATATATATACAAGAAAATATGTATACATACATCAATCCAATTATCTAATAAGACAAATGACAAATTTTAATTAAACGAGATCGACAAAGATAATGATTATGATTATGATAATGATAGTGAGAAGGGAAGAGAAAAGAATGGCACATTCAAAGCGCGCTTAACAAATTTTAACATAGAATCAACTAACAAATGCAAATTGGCTTTAATTAACAAATAATATCGAACAAATCACGTGAATAATAATAATCTAAAGATGATACTTAAAGACATATACTTGATTTGTTTTTGATCGATTTAAGTTATAGATAGCAGTGTTGAGAGACAACCGAAAAACTTTTTCCTAAGCTTAAGCGCTTTGCCATTAGCAGGAACCCAAAGATCCTCGAGAGAAATGTTTTTATAACCGAAGTAGGCTATGGGCAGGATATAGAGCTCCTTGGATATAGAAATCTGGAATGAAAAACAAAAGTACAGGCAACTTTAAGAATATTTATAGTTTTTTCCCTATAAAATACAAAAGATGATAGAGATTCCTTGCACAACGAAAGCGAAAGAGAGAGAAGATCACTGTGAAAAGGAAAGAGATAGCATAAATAAATTATTCTTCGGGCTATATATCCTGCCCTCCAGACTGGCAATTATAAATCTTTATTATTGTTATAAATTATCGTAGAGCAGGAAATATTTTACATTTCTTAAAACCTTACCAACCAGAATCAAAATCGAAAACAAAACTATTAAACTTGACAATTTTCAACGTAATCCAAAACAAAGTTATAACAAGAACGTCTAATGGAAAATCTTCAACAGCAAAATAAAATGATTATTAATTAATATGAACAAAGAGACAAGTGTCATAAAAAGTTTAACGATAATTTAGCAAAAGAAGCAAATCCAAAATCATGTATGCATACTTTATAATAATAATAATACTTCTAAATACCAGAAAAATTTTAACAAAAATATACAAATATTTTCACAATAGCTTAAAGAGAAATCGTGGTTGTCATTTTCTGGGGGCATTCCTACTTTAAATATTTTCTGAAACTCTGAATATTTAGTGGCTGGCAACGATCGTTTAGGGGGAATTTCCAGATTAATAAAACCGTTTAATAACAGCTATCAAGTAATTTAAAGAAGGTTAATATACCTCTGGGTCAATGGACAATGCCCCCCTCGAAGGTAAGAGCCTCTTATCGGATCGCTGCACAAAAATACATTATCTCGATAGCCAGTTTAAATTGGTCCAATCAAAGGTTGCATAAGAAAGTCGTCGATTAGATTTCCACCGTTCATTCCACATGTGCATTACGATTGTTAAATTTTCGGCGTCATTGATTTTCAAATTTAGTGGGAACAGGAAGCTATTAATCAGCCCGATAAGAAGAATTCTACAAGATCATATGTGGCCTAATCTCCAAAGTTTAGAGTCTGAACTGATAGATTTACCTGCATCACAAACAAAATTGATAAGCTAACCACTTTTTTGATAACATTTAAAGTTTCAAAGACCTATAAATTTAAATCTTGAATCAATGTCATTGATTTTTCTGATTGGCGGTAATCTTTCTAAACCAAAGTCCGTGGGGAAATCGTAACCCTTCCAATTTGCCAATCTAAACCAAATCAAACAATCGTAAATATTTGAAAAAAAAATATTTATTACACTTGCATTTGATTCTTTCCTTTGCTTTCGTCTTATCGCTTTTGATTTGTCTTTAAAGTAAACCGCATCGTATTTACAAAGTTAAGTTAACACTCTACCAGATAGATGGTATACAATTCACAATACACTTGAATACAATACATAAATAGGTGTTAGTTCAAAGATCCCTTAAGTTCCTTAGATGTCATGAGGTGTGTGATACAAGATACAAAGTAAAGGGGAAAAGGGGTTTCAGTTTAATGGGGGCCCTAACCTAGTTAGGGAATGTCTAGTAAATAAAATACGTATGGTTAAAAGAACTTGATTAAACTGCTCGTCCAGAGGTCAATTGTAAAAATCAACCATGTCTCGGCCTACATAAGTAATGTCATTTGCAATTTATGTTAAGATTAGTATATATAATATATGTAGGTATTTGGTTTAATGATCTAACAATTACACGCGGCAACAGGAAGGAAAGATCGGATGCGAGAACTGAAATCCAGTTTCATCCAAATAATTTCGAGCTAGACAACTTCTTAAATTCCTGTTGCAAAGTGTAGGTTAAATTTCAAGTTTTTGGTTTTTTTTATTCATTTTGGTTTTTTTTTGGTATGTGTTGCCTAAGAAGAAGATAAAGTCTGACAGTCGAGGGTTGCAATTTTGTCTTTGCTGCTCCTAATACTCATTGTGGTGCCTGAATTAGCCAAACTATTTGGATGTAAGTGCTTTTGCGTGGGCTGTAGCCGGAACCATTGCGTGGATCAAGTCACATATCATATCGATTTTGCAGTTTAAATACTGGTTTTCTTAAATACTTGTGTAAATGAGACACAAACATTATGCAAGTGCTGAAATCTACAAAATGATTAGACATCGGTTCTTAAGTTTTTTTACTTGTGTTTTTAGGTCAAAAAAGGTTGCTAAAGATATTTCGACCTATTTGTATAGGTCTCAAAAGGTGAAAAAAGCTCGAGTACTATTTAAAATTTACTGATGTAGTATTTAAGATATGCTTTTACCTAAAATCCGATGTCTTAGGATGATAATCATGTTAACTTAACAAGCTTTTCGATAAACAAAGCTGAATAATGTTTGAAAAAGTGTGTAAGATTTCTGAAATGTAAAGAACGTTTCACTAATAGACCTATTTGGGTTTTTAGTTCTCACATTTAAATATCGTACTATTTGCAAATCAATGTCTTTTAATTGCGAAGCAAAGGGCTTTATGAAATTAAATAACTTATAATATTTTAATTACTTTGGTTTGATATATGTTTCACATTTCTGGATTTAATTAAAAAAGCTAATATTTAAGGTAATTCTAATCCTTTACATTTTATCTGTTTTTTGACTTGAAATAAAAACAATTTTAATACCCTTTGAAGAGTATAAGAAATACCTTAGTTCTATACAAATTGGTCTTAAATTACCTAAATTTTATAATAAAATAGGACATTTACTAGTTAGCTTTAAAATAAATAACAAAACTTTGGACTTCAGGTGGTAAAATAAAATAGGACAAATACTGTAAGTGTACGAAAATTGCAAATCTATAGATGATGTATATACGAATCGAAATCCCAAATAGGCCTATGACATGACCACGTAATGGCGCCCATGGTGGTGTGTATTCTTTGGAGATGAGTGTGTGTTTATGTGTGAGGATTAAATCGCTACTTTCGCCTAGAGCGTCTTGAGCAAGCTGGCCTTTGCAGCACCGGCTCCGTAGCCCGCCGGCTGGCCGTAACCGGAACTGCTGCTGGCCACGGCAGCGGCGGCGGCCACCGCGGCATCCGCGACAGGAGTTGCCGTCGATCCCGCTGAGCCCACAGATGCCGCGGATGATGCGGCAGCGGGAACACCGCTCTTCATCATCGGTATGTAACGCTGCAACGCCTCCGCGGACGACAGCTTGAATGTCTCACTCATCTGGGAGCGAACTCGCTCCATTAGCACATCGATGTCGTCCTTGGTCAGACCCTCGGTGCTAACCGGCGGCAGCGTGGTGATCACAATGCGACCCGCATTCAGGATCTTCTTCTTGTCGTTGAGGAATGTACAGTAGGAGGAGAAGACCACCGGCAGGATGGGTATCTGCTGGTCGATGGCCATGTGGAAGGCGCCCTTCTTGAACGGATGCAGTTCGCCCGTGTTGCGACGCGTTCCCTCCGGGAAAACCCACAGTTTGATGCGCTGCTTCTTGATCCGCCGATTGACATCATTTAGCGTTTCGCGGGCCTTCTCGCCGCGCACCCGATCGATGAAGATCAGGCCGGCCAACCAGGCGGCCAGGCCGAAGGGCCAGGCGTAGAAGAGCTCCCGCTTGGCCACCACCGTGCACTTGTTCATCACATGCCAGATGTCGAACATGCCTGAGAATATTAAAATATAATTAAGATATATTTGAAGAAGTAATTTATGGTTATTTTTAATTATTACCCAGTACATCCAGCGAGCTCTGATGATTGGCCACAATGATGCAGGCCTGGTCCTTGGCCAAATGCTCCTTGCCACGCAGCTCCCAGCGCAGGCCAATCAAAGTGGAGACTCGGTGGCACCAGGTGCTTGCCCATCTGCAAAAGAAAAATAGTATAATATTATTTTTTTATAATAAAAAAGAGTATGCGAATCAAACATCTGGCGCGAAATGTACATTCTGTCACCAAATTGGCCATGAGATCATCTCAAATCAACCCCGATTTAAAGGCCATTAAAACTTTTCCCACACCCATTAGCGGGCGTAATGAATTGAGCCGAAAACCAAGCCAATTGTGAATCCAATATTATTTAATCAAGTTGACAGCCATCGAGGCGTAGCTCTGATTTCTATCCCCTGTCGTCCGGATGATACCCATACCCATTCCCATCCCACAGGGGCTAATCGGCACAGTCATGACACGTAATTACTGCCTGGGAGCTTGGGAGCTCCGTATATATGATGATACCCCGGGGAGCTGAGAAGGGTGCACACTGTACAGTGTTTACCGAGAATACTGGGCTTAATTCTCACCTACGACAACGGATCGATAGACTGCATTAAATAGTTAGAGAGGCATAATTGATTCAGGCCATGAGTGGTATACACATGTGCGACTACTGGACTGCTAGTAATCCGCCCCTGATATCAAATATTCATTGTTGTCTAATGCAAATGGTTATTTGAGTCGAGGAAAATCGCTGAGGTGGTGGTAAGAACTACTAGCAAGTGTACTAACCACATGCCAAAATACAGAAAAAAAATAAAATAAACCGCATTGGGGACAAAGAAATCGGTTCTCTCTGGTTTTTCCATTAGCGTGCAGCAAACAGCTCCCTTGCTCCCTGTCCGCCCTTTCCCATATATCCAGCCACCTGGAAACCCAAACCCAAACCCAAACCCGAATCCGAACCCGAGCACCGAGCAATCCAATTCAATTCCCCTCGAAAACTTCGTCCTTGGCCTGACACCTAGGCGATAGCCGCAGTTAAAATTACAAACAAAAATCACTAGCAACAACAGTCACGAACCTTGCAACGCATACGATACCCATTACCTTTATATAATAACTAGTTATCGACAGTAGAACTATTGAGTAAGTCTTGAAGAAATAGATCAGCTCATAACAAAAGCCAATACTTAATACTTTATTTGTTAAAAATAAAGAAAAAACTACTAAAAATCGAATTATTGCCAAAAAAAATCAGTATCCTGATTTCCCACCCAAAAAAATAGTATTTTGTTCGTAACAACGGAAATAGTGATCCAAATATGGAATGTCATACCTTGCTGAACTCGTAATAAAATCCCCAATCGATCTGCATTTAAACCTGAAAATTTTTAATTTTTGCCATTTTTCGAAAAAAATTATGATGTAACCCCTTATCAAAAATTTGAAAATTGGGTCAAATATTTAATTTTTTAAATCAGACGGAAAGTTTACTGATATTAATTATTAGGTTGTTAGCTACTCAAAACAGTACGCCTCTTTGATTTGGGACCAATTTTGCCCAAGTTTCAGCAAAAACTCGATTAAGAAAAATGTCAAATTTGTACCAAAAATGAAGATCCTGATCTTCAAATTTTAAGTACAGTCTACATAGAACAAAAAACTTATAAAGACTAATTTATTTGTTTAAAAGATTTTTATGTATTTCTTTTTATCTAAACAGCTTTTATAATTTTATTTTATTTTTTATCGTTTGTTTTCCAGAACTCGTAAACTCTTTATTTATTATGCCCAAGTGATTTAATTTCAATTGAAAATCAGTTTGCCTGGCTAGCAAAAAATAAAGGAAACACCATGGGGCCACAAGTGTGCAATAAATTCCTTATCGCGCTTGGTGAAGTGGTATGAAATTCATCACAAACTCAATTTCCGATACCGGAATTGGTAACAAAAACATCATAAACCTAAATTTATCGAACAATAAAAATATATCTTTGAAATAATTGATGGCTCGAACGGTTAATAGATTCTGGGAAAAACGTATTATTCCCAAGAATCATAAAAATTCAATTCAGTAAGGACGATAAATATAAAACTAAAATTTAGTCTGAATTTATATAAAGAAATGCTCAAAAATTTAAGGAAGGTAACTAAATAAATGTAAACTAGTTCTCTACATTTTCTTTACTTTTTAAAAAGCCCTTTTTCCTTTAATTCACATGTGTAAAACGTATACCATTTTTTTTTAGTGCACAAGAAATCGTAAATATTGCCAAACGGGGGACATAGCTTTTCGGACAATCTGGGGCCTTGACGGACAGTTGGCCAGGAGTGCATTGCGGACACCTGCAGTCCAGTCACTCCTCCGCATTTGGGCCTTGTTAATATTGATAGCCAATTAAAGTTGCATGTGTCATTGACGCAGTCACCTTGGGACCTCAAGGAGCCTCTTCCTCGAAGACAGGCGGGTCGAAAAATCAACCGTCATTGCGGGGTCTTCGGCGATAAGTCATTTCTTTTGGTTAAAATTAAGTTGGTGATACTGCAATTACTCTATCTGGCTGTCAGGCCAATACAATGCATTATTTACCGGCAATTTGAGGGACCGGACTGCTGCTTGATTGTCTAAAGTAATTTAACAGGTCATGTGGGGGCGTGATGCCAGATGGCGATTAAGGAAATTGTTTCATTAAGTGGATTGATTTGAATAAGGAATGCAGGGATTGCCAATATATCATTAAAAGTAAACGTTATCGTAAAAAAACATTTTAAAATTAAATGATAAGTAAAATAGACGCTACTTTTGACAAAATACGACAAAAATCATAAATTGTAAATTTAAAAATGTAAATTTAAATACACAAATAGTTTAGTAATATAATAAAAGGAACTACTTTGTTTCGCTTAATGGCAGACGCATTAAAAATGTTATTTTCTAGCACATTGTTGGCTAAAAAACATTTATTTTAACTGCCAATCGATAAGGTTAAAATGTTTTTCGTATTTTGCACTGTAGCTCAAATAATACTGTGCCTTCATAGACAATCAGACACTTGAGATCTTTATTGAAATAGATGAGTTATCAATCTATCTATTAAAATGTTGGAATTTTTATCTATAACGATATTCTGACGGAATTCTTTAAGTAAAAATACCAAGTAATAACAACATTGATTTTTATAACATAAATAAAGTCCCCATTTGTTAAAATATAATATCATATCATACTATACTATACTATACTGAAATTTTTAGAGTGGGTTTGGGTTACTTACAGCAGATTACGGACATCGCAGGGTCGGGTGAGGAAGGCCGGGATGAGGACGATCGAGTTGAAGGACACGATGCCGTAGTACAGCATGAATTTGAAGTAGTAGCGGAATATGTGGTTGGTCTCGTACAGAAATGGCAGCATCAGCAGCAGGAAAAGTCCCAGCAGCTCGATGAACGAACTCATTGCGATCCCTATTTTGATTATGTTAGCGATTCAGATCCAGATTCAGTATTCAGTGGTTCCGATTCAGATCCGGATCGTGCTGGAATCAATCTGCGAACTCGGACCTTCCCTCCCCTGCTTTCCTTTCACTCTCTCCACTCGATTTCCTCCCCCAAATTGTATCTTTATAGTCCCCTTTCTCTGGCTTTCCTCTGGTTAAGGCAGATTGCAGTCTTTTAGGTGTGAATTGTGTGTGGGTATGTTGGTTGTTCCTTTCGTTGTGCTGCAAGAGGGAAGATATATTGATAAATGGTATAGTAAAATAGTAATTTTGATTAGTAGCTATTATTTCTATATTTAGAGGGGCTAAATAACAGGGTTTTTTTTTAATATTTAGTATTAGTATCTTTAAATAATTTTAATTTTTAGTAATTAAATTATGATGCTTTTGTTCTTTAAAAAAGTGAAGTCAAATCATTAAAGTTATACCAAAATACTGTATTGTATTTACTTTTAATCAAGGGTTAATTTACATATACAGTTTTATTTCCAATTAAGGGTTAATTATACAGTTTTGCAAGCACCGCTCTTTTGTTATGGTTCAAGTTAATAAAGTGATAAGTGGCGAGGGCGATTTAAATTCAAGTTTGTTGCACGCCATTCTCCTATTCCTTCTACTTTTATGCCCTCTCTTTTATTCGAAGCATTAACATGACAATTATGAAAGTGCAACAAACCACGACATCAGCACACATACAGTTGCGGTCGAATCAATAGCACTTGTGGAAATATAAAACCAAAAGATTTTATTTTAAGTTTTTAAAAAATGAACTTTCTAATACCTGCTTTGTTAAACTGATTTACTTATTAAGAAAATAGTAGATAACAGTTAAAGGAAATCTGAACTTGTTTATATAAACTAATTTTTTACTATTTTATCATACTGTTTCGGATTTACGTAAAGTTTTAAACTATTTAAATTTACAAAAGGTCCTAATATTTTAACCGCAGCTGTACATATGTACAGCAGCCCAGAAGAGAGAGAAAAAATCAATTTAAATTTGCGCCCAGCGGCGAAAAACGAAACAAAACAAACGGGGGAAAACTGAAGGAAAGCATTCCATATGAGTTTTTGTATGGGTTTTATAGATACTATGCGATACTATCAATTGACCAGCTATTGAATTTCAATTTGAATGCTGCAAATAAGCGGCTAAATAAATGAACTTTTATGCGGGAAATTGTCTATTTTTTTTGTTTATCCCATCTTCTTTATTTGTCTATTTCTATTCCTATTAATTCTCTATCTATTCAAAGTCCTTAACCCTTGATTGCAATTTTACACAAAATTCGGGATCCTAAAATTTTACACTTTAAGAAATAAAATATCTACAAAATCTGCAATATTATCTCATAAAAATACAAGAAAAATATTCAGCAATTTTAAACTTATTGGCAAAAGTGAAACATATGGGATTTTGGCAAAGTGGGTCCATCTAGGGTTAATATTCTTATTTTTTTTACATCTGGCACAAAACAAAATAAGCAAAAAAAACAAGGGTAATAGAGGGTTGCGCGAAGAGAGCGGGCACAAGAGAGAGAAGGAGAGAGCAAGCGGCAGACACGCCAAGGATAATAGTAGCAAAAAATAAAAAGCACGGCACACACACACGCAAACACACGAAATAAACATAAATAAATACAATTTTCGTTTGCTTCTTTATGTTGCGGGCAAATCTTGACAATTAAATTAAATAACTTTGATATAATACAATTTGCGACGGCGAGGAATTCACTGGCACACAAACAACAACTGGGTTCTCACTTTTTTTTTTTGTTGTTATTCTTGTCGATTTTAATAAAAGGGATTACGCTTTTTATTTCTTATTTCTGCTGCTTTTGTTGTTGTTTCGGCGACGACACAACGCCGACGTCGACGGCGACGCGAAAACCGTTGCGTTTGGCGAGAAATTTCCGTTACCCGTTACCGGTAGAGGTGGAGCAACGTCGATTGCGGACATCGATGTATCGACTTGTGGGATCATCGATGGCAAGCCATCAGCGCCTGTGACTTAGCGGATACACACACCCATCGATTGATTTTTTGGAACCTTGCTGTTCAAACTCAAATTCAAAAATGTTAATTTTGTTTGATTTTATTTTTATTTCCTGAAAGTCTGGCTAAACTAGTAAATAAGAAACCAGTTAAACTAGAAACTGAAAAGGCTAGCAAAAAAAGGCTTTTTCAAAAAATATAAATAACAAATACAAATAAATAAATACAAATAGAAACTAATAATTGCTACGGCAAAAAAATATTTCAATTAAGAAGGCTTACAAATTACAAACATCCCAACGATTGGGAATTTAATTACATATTTGGATACTCTTTTGCTTTGTTTGAACAAAATACTGCTTTTTTCTGCAAAATAGGAATTTATTTATTATTTCGGCAAACAAAAATAATTTTCCTACGTTTTTTCTATTTTAAATTGATAATAAGTAGGAAAGATAGATGCATATAGAATATAGCCGATCTATTTTCAATCTGTATTCCACAACGCGAAGCTGCGGGCGACCTTGCTAGTAAAAATAAGAAGGGTAAGCAGGGCAGTCTTAATTTTATAAACCAAATCAATTTGAATTGTAAAATAAATAGAATTGATCAGAATTTAAATTATTTATGTACCTTTAATTTATTTATTTAAAATACAAATTTTGCTATAAATAAAAGTTGAAGTAAATGTGAAAACAAGGCAATGCTTCTTGGCAGTCGGCAGTGACTTCCCCTTCCTGGAAACAAAACAGAGTTCTCGAATAGTTGGCAAACTTGCTGACAGCCAGGGAGAGATATGATTTAGATGCGATTTTTTGCAGTTGGCAACCAAAGCAATTGCGAAATCGAGCCCTTTGGCCTGCGGAAAACGTGTATCAGGCGGTGGAAAAGGGGAAGGGGTACCGAACAGTTTTTATTTTTACCAAGACAGTCTTAGAAACAAAACAAAAACAAAAATATTTTTGTTTACATTCGATTTCGTTATCTCCGAACGATCCGTGTGGTGGAACTGATATTGAGACGTCCAAGCTGACGACTAGAAAAACGGACGCAAAACAACAATATGCAATTGCAAATGTGGAAACTATGTTAAAAACACGGCTTTCGACAAACACTCTTATTTGTTTCAAGTTTATGGTAAAAACAAAAAAATCACTGTTGACGACAGGAATTGAACTCGTGCCTTTGCTGTTTTTGGTTTTAATTAATATTTTAGATTTTTTTTGCTTTTATAATATAGTTAAAAATATAGTTGTTTAATAACTGATTTAATGTATTTAATTAGAATAATATGATATATTTAAAGTATTTTAAACCTTTTTTAATTTTATAAAATTAACAGTCGAAGAAAAATAATAAATATATATAAAATGCATATATAATTAAGGAAATATTGAAAAACATTTAGAACCCAAACCAATTGAAGGGTCGAAAAGAAAGATCAAGAATACATAACATCTAGATAAGGTTTGATCACATTAATTCCCCTTGAAATCAAGAAAACCAAGTCTTTCTAAACCCAGTTATTGGTTTGAAAATTCCCATTTTCGAAAACAGTCTATCGATACTTGCGAAAAAGAGCCTAAAAAACGGCAGCTGCTTACGATACACCGGCGAAAACATCGATACCCTTGCAGACCAACGATATCGATAGGACCGCTGGCACAGATGTTTTGGATACAGCACTCTTTACCTTTGAAACTAGGACGCCGTTTGCAGGAAAAGCCGAATATTTCGAGGACCGGGAGTCCGGAAATCCCAACCGCCGCGGCCCGAGGTGAGTTGCCCGCAGAAAAAACGGCGGATAAAAATTGAAAACCAGTGTTAAGAAACTTTTTTGGTGCCCAGCAACCCGGGAATTTTCAACCATTTCCAGGAAACGTCTGTTCGCGATGTTCACACGGTGAATTTGAATTTGGTTTGTATCGAGGAATAATGGAGCGAATCCTGAAGCGCCGACTACCCCTCTCCCCGCTGGAGCTGCAGCACAAGTGCGAGCAGCTGGTGGACAAGGCAGTTCGTCCGATTTCCCGCAACGACTACCTAATCCTCTCCCGCCAGCTGGTCATCAATCGGTTGGCCAGCGGTGGCGGTGATTGGTCCTTCGACCGGCGGAGCGCCAAGATGCTGGTGGTCCTCGAGTGCGGCCAGCAGCACATCATCACCTTCACGCTGCCCAGCTCGCACTGCACGGTGCAGGATCTGCTCCGCCAGGTGGACATCCAGTTCGACGAGAGCACCACCATCGATGCTGCGGAGCACGCGGGCGGCAGCATCCGCGTCGTGGTCTCCGTGGGCTTCCGGATGAAGGTCAGTGCCCAGGAGATGGTTGCCCATGCGGAGGAGATGTACAGGGAGATGCAGCAGGCGGCTGCAGATGCCAATCCCGCCAAGAAACGCAAGCGGGAGCACAATGGCAGCTCCGCGGAGGCTCCTCGCAGGGGCAAAAAACACAAGAAGCGGCGTTCGAGTGGCAAGGAAGCTCAAGGAGCCGAGCGGAATGGCAAGAAGCTCAAGAAAAGCAGCCAGCCAGCTGCTCCAAACAACCCGCAAGTCAGCGAGCCGAAGCCCAAGGCGCAATCCTCCATCCTGGCAACCACCACCACCACCGCCAGCTGGAGTGCAGCTGGAGCGGACAGGACGCCCGAGGAGCGGGCCGAGCGCAGCCGCCTGCGCAGGAATCGCCGGTGGATCCTCAGTCGCGACTGCGATGATGATGACAACGATGAGCCGGTGGTGCTGCTGAGCAGCAGCGAGGAGGATGATGAGCAGCAGGCGGAGGAGCAGCAGCAGCAGTCCGCCGCCGATGAGAATGTGCATTTACTGATGTATCCGCCCACCGGAACCGGCGGCCTGAGCATCAGCATGAAGGACTACATGTGCCTGAGCAGCGGCAGCTATCTGAACGACATCATCATCGACTTCTATCTGCGCTGGCTCAAGGATCATGTGATATCCGAGGCGCAGCGCGAAAGGACGCACATCTTCAGCTCGTTTTTCCACAAGCGACTCACGACGCTGACGCGTCCGATCAACTTGAAGCAGACGGCGGCACAGAAGCGACACGAGAGGGTTAAGAAGTGGACCCGCACGGTGGACATCTTCGACAAGGACTTCATCATAGTGCCGTTCAACGAGCAGGCCCACTGGCTGCTGGCCATCATCTGCTTTCCCAGTCTCCAGGGACCGGTGGCGATGGGCGGCGATGATGGGGCGATCAAGCAGCCGGTGATCCTCATTTTCGACTCTCTAGCGGTAACCTCTCGCCATCGGGCCATCGCCATTTTGAGGGACTATCTCACCTGCGAGTACAGGGCCAAGAATCCCGATGGCCAGGCGCATGTCTTCAACAAGGACAACATGCCCGGCCATCGCGTGGAGGTGCCGCAGCAGGAGAATCTCACCGATTGCGGCCTCTATCTGCTGCAGTATGTCGAGCACTTCTTCACGCAGCCCATCCGCGACTACCGGCTGCCCATCGCCGAGCTGAGCAACTGGTTCGACCTGCTGACGGTCACCAAGAAGCGCGAGGATATCGCCAATCTCATCCAGAGGCTGATGGACGAGGGCAATCCGCAGCAGCAGCAGCGCAAGGTGCTGCCCGTCATCGAGTTTCCCACTCTAAATGGGCAGTTGGTGGAGGAGCAGGAGCAGGAGGAGGATGAGGAGGAGGAACGGGGTCACCAAGGAGAGGAAAAGAGGCGTAAGACTTAAGAGTGAAGTCACCATGGAGAGAAAAAGGACCAGATAGCGGTCAAGGGGTCAACAATGTAAAAAAAAGGTCACCAATCAAAGAAAATGGGTCACCAAGGAAAGAAAAAGAAACAGAAAGTGATGTAGGGGTCACCAAACTAAAGAATGAGGTCACCAATCTGAGAAAATGGGTCACCAGAGAAAGAAAGATGGCCAGAAAGTGATGCAGAAGTCACCAATCTAAGATCACTAAGAAAATAGGTCACCAAGGAAAGAAAAAGCAACAGAAAGTTATCTAGGGGTCACCAATCTAAAGAATGAGGTCACCAATCGATGAAAATAGGTCACCAAGAAAAGAAAAATGACCAAAAAGTGATGTAGGGGTCACCAATTTAAAGAACAAGGTCACTAGTGAAAGAAAAATGACCAGAAAGTCACCAATCTGAAGAGTGAGGTCACCCACAGGAGAAAAAGGGTAACCATGGAGAGAAGAAGAAACCGAAAGTGTTGTAGGGGTCACCAATCTAAAGAATGGTTATTGGTTACCAAGGAAAGAAAAAGCAACAGAAAGTGATCTAGGGGTCACCAATCTAAAGGTCGAGGTCACCATAAAAGAAACTGGGTCACCAGACCCCCCCAAAAAAAATCCAGTCATTTGCACAATAAGATAGCTTTACATATTACCAAAAATGAATCCTAAGATAGGCCAACAACCCTAGAATCGCAGGGTATCGCCGATCGGCATTATACCCGTTTCTAAGCCCACACACACACACACACACACACACACACGCATATACGATCTCTGTGTGTTGGTGGGGGTTTCGGCGATAAGAAAATCGAGCCATAAAGTCGCGCCGGCGATTCTGCTGACGCTCAGTTGCTTTGGAGCGATTCCTCGACGCAGACGACGAACGGCGGAGTTTACGGAACGTCAGAAAAACAAAAACTACAACAAAAAAACAGTGGAAAGAGCAAGAGCAAAGCACAAGCGAATATCGAGCACAAAGCGAAGCGCGCAACACGTGAAACAGCAGCCGTCAATTGGGTTTCATTTCGATTCTAATTCGGATTCTGAAAGACGCGAAACGCGAAACACGAAACGAGATGTCCACCGCAGCCACAACAACCACATCGAGTAAGTTCTCCAGTTTTCACTTTTCCAGGGATCTTAAATCACAAATAAACATCTGTGGCATATCATATTTACACCATGCGACAGTTCTTGGAACGCAAATGTTGTCAAATCTCTCGGCCAAAGTCCTCAGAAGAGCCAAACGTTTTTTGTTTATTATCAAATGTATATTATGTTAAGATTTCTACGAATCAGGGACCCCTCAGTCGCGAAATAAACATCTGTAGCATATAAAATTTATAGCATTCGATAGGTCTAAGATTGCAAATATTATCAGATAAAAAATCTTAAAGTAAAATTCCTAAATGAAATTATACATTTTATATTATTCTGAAAGTCTACGATTGAGAGAATCAACTGAATTACGAAAATAATAATAATGTAATAAAAATAAATAGGTTGCTTACAAATTACAAAGTATTAGAAATTGATATGTGAAATAGTTTATAATTATTTTAAACAGTAACTTATGAAGTTCTCAAAAAAAAAAATCTAATAAATATTTGTATTCATTTATTACTTTAAACAGTTTTATTGTTTGTTTAAAATAAAATGAAGAATGAAATACTGTCCTAATCTGATTTTTATGGTGATCTTTATTGACCTGTATTCTATATTTTATGTAAACAAAAAAGCGTTTGGCTCCTTAAACTCGAGATTATACTTGTACAATACAAACATAATATTTGAAATAGTATAGTGGTTAATATGACTTATTTATAGTAATTCCCTGAATTAAATTTCATATATTTTTCCACAGTTGAGGGCTACAAGCTCGGAAAGGTCATCATCGAGGGCAAAACCAAGCAGGTGTACGATCTGCCCGAACAGCCGGGACTTTGCCTGCTCCTCAGCAAGGATCGCATCACCGCGGGCGATGGAGTCAAGGCCCACGATCTGGCGGGCAAGGCGGAGATCTCCAATACCACCAATGGTCAGGTCTTTCGATTGCTCAACGAGGCCGGTGAGTAAATGTTGAAAATGTTTATTAATCTCTGGGTTAATCATCTAAATAAATTAAATTAATATTAACAATTATATTACAAGATTTGCAATATAATATACCTTGTGTGGAAGTAAACATACCTTTAGATTAAAGTAAATATATTGCTTTTTATTGCCTAAGATGGTAAGCTTTATATTTTAATATATAGATTTGATGTAAATTAATGCTTTATGGGCAAATATTTTAATTATAAAACAAGAGAGAACGCCTATAGTCGAGATCTTCCACCATCAGTGCGAGGGAGATGGAGATATGCAGATATCAAAGCTACTGGCGTCATCTAGCGGCTGTTGAAATTTTTTGATGGCTCCATCTAACTGCTGTTTCAATTTTTGCCCATAACTTTTTAATAAATAGTCCGATTTAAAAAATTTCTTCTACATTTTGATAGGTATATTTAAGCTAAATAAAACGAAAGAAAAACGATTTAAAATATATTAAACTATAGTTTTACAATGTATAGTAAAATCTCATTAATTTAGAAAACAAAAAATAATCAAATAAATTAATTAAATTAAATTTTCCCCAGGAATACGCACCGCGTATGTGAAGCAGTGCGGCTCGAAGGCCTTCATCGCCCGCAAGTGCCAGATGATACCCATTGAGTGGGTGACGCGTCGCCTGGCCACCGGATCGTTCCTCAAGCGCAATGTCGGCGTGCCCGAGGGCTACAGGTTGGTATGGTGGATCTATGGATCTCTGGGGGTTATCACCCGATCCGAGCCGATTCGATCTCTGTTATCTGGGGCCCCCGCTTGCGGTAAACAAATTTAACTGCAATCGATGCACTGAGGCAGGGTCAACAATCGCTGATAAGCCCCCCATTTTCATTCCCAATTCCCCCGTCGGAATAACATTGCTAAAGTCATCAAAATCGAATCGCGGGGTCTGTAATTCAAGCCGGATTTTCGTCAGAGCATCGCCAATCGATCCGTAAAGCCGTAAATGCGTGTCATTCGATGTCATTCCAAGGCAATGGGCCTTTTTATGGCTTTGATCGTAGAGCTGCATCTCTTTGAGGTTTTTCTTTCAAATAATAGTGAGATAAATTAGCAATAAATGCAGAATGTAAACTATTTTAACCGTAAAAATACAAAAACTTTGTTTTTAGAAATTAATTCTTGGCACGTAATTGGTTTAAAAAATATCTTTAAATTTGTTGAGTCCTCAGTGTGTTTAGTAAAATTTCCTTTTCGTTAATTTCAAGTTAGTAAACTATTTATTATAATTACTATTAATTATCTTAGCGAATTTTTCAATAATTGGTTTGATAACAAGGCCTTTTTATGGCTTTGATTGGAGAACTCCGTCTCTTTGAGGATTTTCCATCAAGTAATAGTGAGATAAATTAGCAATAAATACAGAATATTAACTGTTTTAACCGTAACAATACAAAAACGTTATTTTTATAAATTAATTCTTTTCATGTAAACTATTAATTATATTTACAATTAATTATCTTAACGAATTTCTTATTATTATTATGCTTATTCTTGTATTTTTCAGATTCTCCCCGCCGAAACAGGAGACCTTCTTCAAGGACGACGCCAACCACGATCCCCAGTGGAGCGAGGAGCAGATCGTCTCGGCCAAGTTCGAGCTGAATGGCCTGGTGATTGGTGAGTGGAGATAATCCTTTCATGAAATACCCAACTAACCGAATTACAAAACCCCGACAGGCCAGGATGAGGTGGACATCATGCGCAGGACCACACTGCTGGTCTTCGAGATTCTCGAGCGGGCGTGGCAGACCAAGAACTGCGCCCTCATCGACATGAAGGTGGAGTTCGGAATCTGTGACGATGGCAACATTGTTCTGGCCGACATCATTGACTCCGATTCGTGGCGCCTTTGGCCGGCCGGCGATAAGCGACTGATGGTGGACAAGCAGGTGTATCGCAATCTGGCCTCGGTGACGGCCAGCGATTTGGACACGGTGAAGAGGAATTTCATTTGGGTGGCCGAACAGCTGGCCGATATTGTGCCAAAGAAGGATCATCTGGTTGTGGTCCTGATGGGCAGTGCCTCGGATACTTCGCACAGCGAAAAGATAGCCACCAGCTGTCGATCGCTGGGCCTCAACGTCGAGCTCCGAGTGAGTTCGGCCCACAAGGGACCCGAGGAAACCCTGCGCATTGTCCGCGAATACGAGTCGGTGATGAGCAACCTGATCTTCGTGGCCGTCGCCGGGCGTTCCAATGGACTGGGTCCCGTCGTCTCCGGCAGCACCAACTATCCGGTGATCAACTGTCCGCCTGTCAAGTCGGACAACATGCAGGTGGATGTGTGGTCCAGCCTGAATTTGCCATCGGGCCTGGGCTGTGCCACCGTTCTCTATCCGGAGGCGGCTGCCCTGCATGCGGCCACCATTCTGGGACTGGGCAACTTCATGGTCTGGTCGAAGCTGCGCGTCAAGGCGCTGAACAACTTTATCACCCTCAAGAAGGCCGACAAGGAGCTGCGCGGCGTGCGAAACGCTTAGATGAAGAAAGGGGGCCATAAAGAGTATCCTTGAAAGATCATCCTCAGAATACATCCTTTGTTAATTCTTCTCTTCGTTTTTATTTTTTTTTTTGATAACCAAAACCTTTTTTATTTTTGTAGTATTAAGAAAGCACGACTTGAACTAGTTGTATACCCTTCTGGATAAGGTAACTCGAAATACCTACTAATAAAAAAATTAAATATAAAAACTCAACATGTTTCTGGGTATTTTATTTGCTACTTAGGAGGGAAGCTTTTTACTTGGATAGTTTTTATTAAAGTGTCTAAAGTTTTCTAAAAGTAATAGAAAAAGATTCTCTAATGCGTATGTAGTTATTCTGTTTAAGGGGTTATATACCTTTTTTGAGCGAAAAAATTGAGGGAACTTTGGATTTTTTTTTTGGTGTGTAGCAATTATTTTATGACAGTGAAGTTATTATTTATTGATAGTACATGTTTTTATCGAAACAACAAGCCTTTGTTCTTGAAAAAATATGAATAATTTACGAAGTTATGGCAATTCTTTCGGAACCCTTTTTTTTTTATAGCGGCTTGCGGTGACCACGATGGAAGTCCAGCAGGTATACTGATATCAAAAAACCAAAAATTTTTAGTTAGTATAGTATTATTTCCAGTTCGTGAACGATTACTTTTAAGAATATTTCCTTTTTTCTGCATACAGTAACAATTTTTCCAAAAAGTTGATTTTTCAAGTTCTAAAAATTTTATTAAAAAATTCTGATCTGCGAAATTAAAATTGGCGCATAAAAACTGAATCGTTCACGAACTCGGCACAATCATTACGAATAATTTAAAAAAAAATTGAAGAAGATCGATCAAATAGTTCTTGCGCAATCGTGGTCACAGCGAAGGGACTTTTGGAAAAACACGACTTTGAGATAATCGCATTCAAAGTTTTACGTTGACGTTGCAACTATTGAAGTCGAGCGCGTCAAAACGCGGTTTTCCTATCGAACTATTATTCGGATCTGTATGAAAATTTGGGAAGATGTTCTCTAGGGGATATACTTTAAGATTCAGCAAAAAAAAAAATTTCGTTTTTTTGAAAAAAAAAAGGTATATAACCCCTTAAGAGATACTTGGTTAAACTCACTTAGCTTAGGAATTTGGAATGATTTTACAACTAGCATTGCAAAACTTGAATTTAAAGTTCCATTTAACTATTTTTCAAAGAAACGTTGTTAAAGGCATAAAATTTTAATTGGCATACTTTTCTATATAATAATATTCGCCGCAAATTTGTTGCAAATGCCTATAAACCGTAAAAAAAAGTATACTTTTGGGCTGATCTCAGTGATTTTAAAAGAATGAAATTAATGAATGAATTTAATTTTTTTATAAGGGGGTACCCCATGATTTTTTGCGAAAAATTAAAAATGAATAAATTGTCAAGGTTTAAATGCCAATCGTTAGGAAATTTAATAACGAGTTCAGAAAGGTATGACAATCCATACTTTGAATCAGTATTTGCTTTGTGAATTTTTTCTTTTGGTTTTTTTGCTATAACTTGGCCAAAAATTGTCCTACACCAAAAATTCATACTGTTTTGAACAGATAACAAAATTTGCTATAAATCCATACAACTTTCCGTGTAATTTTGGAAAAATAAAATTTTCGCCAATTTTTAATTTTTTTACAAGGGGGTACCCCATGATTTTTTGCGAAAAATTAAAAAGAAATAAAATGTCAAGGTTTAAATGCCAATCGTTAGGAAATTTAATAACGAGTTCAGGAAGGTATGACAATCCATACTTTAAATGAGTATTTGCTTTGTTTTAGCGAAAAAACCAGTTTTGTTTTTTTTTTGGAAATTCGGGATTTCAGTTTTTGACAAAAATTGGAATTTTTTCTTTTGGTTTTTTTGCTGTAACTTTGCCAAAAATGGTCCTACACCAAAAATACATACTGTTTTGAACAGATGACAAAATTTGCTATAAATCCATAAAACTTTCCGTGTGATTTTGGAAAAATAAAATTTTCGCCAATTTTTAATTTTTTTATAAGGGGGTACCCCATGATTTTTTGCGAAAAATTAAAAATAAATAAAATGTCAAGGTTTAAATGCCAATCGTTAGGAAATTCAATAACGAGTTCATAAAGGTATGACAATCCATACTTTGAATCAGTATTTGCTTTGTTATAGCGAAAAAACTGCAACGTTTTAGCGAAAAAACGGGTTTTGTTTTTTTTTTGGAAATTCGCGATTTCAGTTTTTGACAAAAATTTGAATTTTTTCTTTTGGTTTTTTTGCTATAACTTGGCCAAAAATTGTCCTACACCAAAAATTCATACTGTTTTGAACAGATAACAAAATTTGCTATAAATCCATACAACTTTCCGTGTAATTTTGGAAAAATAAAATTTTCGCCAATTTTTAATTTTTTTATAAGGGGGTACCCCATGATTTTTTGCGAAAAATTAAAAAGAAATAAAATGTCAAGGTTTAAATGCCAATCGTTAGGAAATTTAATAACGAGTTCAGGAAGGTATGACAATCCGTACTTTAAATGAGTATTTGCTTTGTTTTAGCGAAAAAACCAGTTTTGTTTTTTGTTTTTCGGGATTTCAGTTTTTGACAAAAATTGGAATTTTTTCTTTTGGTTTTTTTGCTGTAACTTTGCCAAAAATGGTCCTACACCAAAAATACATACTGTTTTGAACAGATGACAAAATTTGCTATAAATCCATAAAACTTTCAGTGTGATTTTGGAAAAATAAAATTTTCGCCAATTTTTAATTTTTTTATAAGGGGGTACCCCATGATTTTTTGCGAAAAATTAAAAAGAAATAAAATGTCAAGGTTTAAATGCCAATCGTTAGGAAATTTAATAACGAGTTCAGGAAGGTATGACAATCCATACTTTAAATGAGTATTTGCTTTGTTTTAGCGAAAAAACCAGTTTTGTTTTTTGTTTTTCGGGATTTCAGTTTTTGGCAAAAATTCAAATTTTTTCTTTTGGTTTATTTGCTGTAACTTGGCCAAAAATGGTTCTATACCAAAAATACGTACTGTTTTGAACAGATAACAAAATTATCTTTAAATCCATAACACTTTCCGTGTGATTTTGGAAAAATAAAATTTTCGCCAATTTTTAATTTTTTTGTAAGGGGGTACCCCATGATTTTTTGCGAAAAATTAAAAATAAATAAAATGTCAAGGTTTAAATGCCAAACGTTAGGGAATTTAATTACCAGCTCAGGAAGGTATGACATTTTATATTCTGACCCTTTTTTTTTTTGTTACGCCAAACATTCTGATATTTTTCTGCAAAAAAAAACCATTTAAAACAATTTTGATTTTTGGCAAAAATTAAAAAATAAAAATAAAAATATAGATTATATCTGTGTGGTATTCTTCGTAGATAGGCCGAAAAGGTCCCAATATAGAAATAATAAGTTATTTGAAAAACTGAAGTTTTGACTAAGCTGTTGATTGCAGTTCCATTGATACACCTATTTTAATCGCGGTCCCACGCGCTCTTTCAGCAAAAAGGCCAAAGAAGAGCTTATCATAATTAGTGCGCTTTTCCTGCGCCACGTGTACGGCTTAAATATAAAAATATCAGCTTACCTTGTGCAAAGCATGTAGCATACATACACCACAATTATGAACAATTAAATAGTAAATAAATTGGAATAACAAAATTACAAAACCAATAAAAATGGGTGAACTTATTTAGAAATATTTAAATATTGATATAATCCAATGCGCGAATTCTTAAGCATTCGAGATTTTTCTTGATATATTTATATATTTGATATATTTCTGGTTCTTCAAAATTGTCTTCTTTTGATAAATACATCTATTATAATCAATTTCGTTTTGGATTTTTTTTCAAATCAAAAATATTAAAAGTTTGACCACAAGCGTATGTAAAACATGGAAAGGAGATGGGCTGACTATTTATAACTCCTTTAGTCAAACGATCTCCGGTTACCAAGGCAAATTAGCCATACATGGAAAAATCATATTGAAATGTGGATGGGGGGGGGATATGGGGAGAACCGGGGAAATATGTGCTAAAGTGCGCCGGCCAACCTCAGGTCAATTAATCATACTTTAGTGTTTGGCAGACACCACCACAAAAATATAAGCACAAACAACGAAATACATGGGGCACAATTCATAATAATAACAATAATTTAGCATAAGAGAGGGGGACGGGTGACGGGGGAAGTGAGACGGCGAATGTACACATTAAAAGTCAGGGTCAAAGTGTGGCCATTGTATTTGCCTCTCCCTCTGGCGCTCCGGCCCCCCACATCCCCCAACCCCCCCCGCTCACAAGTGTCTGCTGTTGTTCGAAACAACAATAAACAAAAAGAAATATGAATGGCAAAGCAAATGTAACAAAATGTTAAGAAAAATAAAGAAAACCGAGTAGAAGCAAAAAAAATAATCAAAGAGCATACTCCATTTGGAAATACTCTACAAGTTCTTATATAACTTTTGAAGATTTTTGTTAATTTTCGTTCATAAATACATTTTAAATAACCGTTTACCGCTTAGAGTTTACAATATCGATTAATTTGTGAGGCGCCCGAGCAGGGACGATTTTGAAGAAGTTTTTTTTAGTTAGAAATAGAGGAAACTTTACTACAAATTTACTATAAATTTTAGGGAAATATAGAACGAAGACTTTTTCGTTATTTTGATAAAAAAAAATTGTTTTGTAGTTTGAAAATATATATCTCCTACAAAAAGCTTATGGTTCTTTGAAAGTAGCTTGTTTTTGAATTATAAAATATATTATTTTGGCATATTGAACTTGTTCCCATCTTTATTCGTGCATGCCCCTTTTCTTTTGGGGTTAAAGGGAGTGAAACAACAATATCGACTGCGACGTCGGGCCGCTGGGGTCGCAAGTACAACTACAACTACAACTACAACTGCAAATACAACGACAACAATAACAATGGCCGGCAATTGTTTTGCGGCGTCGCCTCTGCCGCTGCCGCTGCCTCAGTCGACGCCAATGACGCAGCGCTATGTTTGCGGTGGCTGTTGTTGCTTTTATT